TAATAAAAGTGGAGTTATGGTAGCCTCAGAAAAAGGATCAGGAAAAAATTGCAGAGGAAACTCTTCCGGATCTAGTGGCTGTGACTCAGAGGACCTACTGGGAGAGCAAGGTCGCCCACCGCGTGGAAGCCAAGCCGCGGGAGCCGCAGGGTCTGCGCACCAGTGAGGGAAGGGAAGTGGATGTCACACAGACACCAGCGGGAAGAGCAGGGATGCCCAGGGCTCCGAGTCCACACATCGACGCTGGAAGGGGAGGTGAGTTCAGTAACCGGAGACATTGGTGGGGAAATGGTGGACAGAATCTAGAGGGAAGTGGGCTTTGAGGCTGGAAAGTTCACCAGACTGACTATAGGAGAGAAGGAAAAAAAAAGAAAAAAAAATGGTGTGGGGGGGTACTGATACAAACAGAATAGGAATTATCGGACTTAGAAGACAGAGCACAGGAAAACATACAGTCAAACCAAAGAAAAGAAGAGGAAATTAGAAATCTAAAAAAGATTGTTGGTAATCTACAGGATACTATTAAAAAAACCCAATATTCAAGTTCTAGGAGTTCCTGAAGGCATGGAGAGAGAGAAAGGATTAGAAGGCCTTTTTAGTGAGATACTAGCAGAGAACTTTCCGGGTTTGGAAAGGACAGAGACATCCTAGTACAGGAAGCTCAGGGATATGGCAAAAGCAGTATTGAGAGGCAAGTTTATAGCAATAGGTGCCTATATCAAGAAGTTGGAAAGGTACCAAATAAATGAGCTTTCAGCGCATCTCAAGGACCTAGAAAAACTGCAGCAAACCAGACCCAAATTTAGTAGGAGAAGAGAAATAATTAAAATCAGAGAAGAAATTAACAGGATTGAATCCAAAAAAAATTACAAAAAATCAGCCAAGCGAAGAGCTGTTTTTTTGAAAAAATAAACAAAATTGACACCCCGTTGACCCAACTAACTAAAAAAAAAGAAGAGAAAAGACCCAAATCAATAAAATCAGAGATGAAAAAGGAAACGTATCAACAGACACCACAGAAATAAAAAGAATCATCAGAAATTACTACAAGGACTTGTATGCCAGCAAACAGGAAAATCTATCAGAAAAGCCATTGTAATCCATATTCTGTACTTTGGAAATTTATATTCATTAAATAAAAGTTAAAAAAAATGGATAGATTCCTGGACACATGCAATCTACCTAAATTGAACCATGAAGACATAGAAAACCTAAATAGACCCATAACTGAGACATAAATTGAAACAGTAATAAAGGCCCTCCCAACAAAGAAAAGCCCAGGACCAGATGGATTCACTGCTGACTGCTACCAGACATTTAAGGAAGAACTCACTCCAATTCTTCTCAAACGATTCAGAACAATCGAAAAAGAGGGAATCCTCCCAAATTCTTTCTATGAAGCTAGCATCACCTTAATCCCCAAGCCAGGAAAAGATGCAGCATTAAAGAAAATTACAGACCAATATCCCTGATGAACATAGACGCAAAAATCCTCAATAAAATTCTCGCCAATAGAATACAACAACACGTCAGAGAAATCATCCACCCAGACCAAGTGGGATTTATCCCTGGTATGCAGGGACGGTTCAACATTTGCAAATCAATAAATGTGATTCACAACATTAACAGACTGCAGAAGAAAAACCATATGATTATCTCAATAGATGCAGAGAAAGCATTCGATAAAATTCAACACCCTTTCATGATGAAAACTCTAAGCAAATTGGGTATAGAAGGAACATTCCTCAATATAATCAAAGCAATTTATGAAAAACCCACGGCCAGCAACCTATTGAATGGGGAAAAGTTGGAAGCATTTCCACTGAGATCTGGCACCAGACAGGGATGTCCACTCTCACCACTAGTTTTGAACATAGTTCTGGAAGTTTTAGCCAGAGCCATCAGACAAGAAAAAGAAATTAAAGGAATACAAATTGAGAAGGAAGAAGTCAAACTATCCCTCTTTGCAGACGATATGATTCTTTACTTCAAGGATCCAAAGAACTCTACTAAGAGACTATTGGAACTCATAGAGGAGTTTGGCAAAGTGGCAGGATATAAAATCAATGCACAAAAATCGACAGCCTTTGTATACACAAGCAATGCCACGGCTGAGAAAGAACTGCTAAGATCAATCCCATTCACAATAGCTACAAAAACAATCAAATTCCTTGGAATAAATTTAACCAAGGACGTTAAAGATCTCTACGATGAAAATTACAAAATCTTAAAGAAAGAAATAGAAGAGGATATCAAAAAATGGAAAAATCTTCCATGCTCATGGATTGGAAGAATCAACATCATCAAAATGTCCACTCTCCCAAAAGCAATTTATAGATTCAATGCAATCCCAATCAAGATACCAAAGACATTCTTCTCTGATCTAAAATAAATGATTCTGAAATTCATATGGAGGCACAAGAGACCTCAAATAGCTAAAGCAATCTTATACAACAAAAACAAAGCCGGAGGCATCACAATACCAGATTTCAGGACATACTACAGGGCAGTTGTAATCAAAACAGCATGGTACTGCTACAGAAACAGATGGATAGACCAATGGAACAGAATTGAAACACCAGAAATCAACCCAAACATCTACAGCCAACTTATATTTGATCAAGGATCTAAAACCAATTCCTAGAGCAAGGACAGTCTATTCAATAAATGGTGCTGGGAAAACTGGATTTCCACGTGCAGAAGCATGAAGGAAGACCCCTACCTTACACCTTACACAAAAATCCACTCAACATGGATTAAAGACTTAAATCTACGACCTGACACCATCAAGTTATTAGAGAACATTGGAGAAACCCTTCAAGATATTGGCACAGGCAAAGAGTTTCTGGAAAAGACCCGGGAGGCACAGGCAGTCAAAGCCAAATCAACTATTGCGATTGCATCAAATTGAGAAGTTTCTGTACTGCAAAAGAAACAGTCAGGAGAGTGAAGAGACAACTGACAGAATGGGAAAAAATATTTGCAAACTATGCAACAGATAAAGGATTATTAACCAGAATCTACAAAGAGATCAAGAAACTCCACAAAAACAAAACAAACAACCCACTTAAGAGATGGGCCAAGGACCTCAATAGACATTTTTCAAAAGAGGAAATCCAAATGGCCAACAGGCACATGAAAAAATGTTCAAGGTCACTAGCAATCAGGGAAGTGCAAATCAAAACCACAATGAGGTTTCACCTCACCCCGGTTAGAATGGCTCACATGCAGAAATCTACCAACAACAGATGCTGGCGAGGATGTGGGGAAAAAGGGACACTAACCCACTGTTGGTGGGAATGCAAACTGGTCAAGCCACTATGGAAGTCAGTCTGGAGATTCCTCAGAAACCTGAAGATAACCCTACCATTCAACCCAGCCATCCCACTCCTTGGAATTTACCCAAAGGAATTTAAATTGGCAAACAAAAAAGCGGTCTGCACCCTAATGTTTATTGCAGCTCAATTCACAATAGCTAAGACCTGGATCCAACCTAAATGCCCATCAACGGTAGACTGGATAAAGAAAGTATGGGATATGTACTCTTTAGAATACTATACTGCAGTAAGAAACAATGAAATCCAGTCATTTGCAACAAAATGGAGGAATCTGGAACACATCATGCTGAGTGAAATAAGCCAGTCCCAAAGGGACAAATACCATATGTTCTCCCTGATCGGTGACAACTGACTGAACACCAAAAAGGAAACCTGTTGAAGTGAAATGGACACTATGAGAAACGGTGACTTGATCAGCATAGCCCTGACTGTTAATGAACAACTTAATACATTATCCCTCTTAGTATTTTTTTGTCTATTCTACTTAATACTACTGTTTTAATTCTGTAATTAATACACAGCTATTCTTAAGTGTTAAAATTGAACTGAAATGTGATCCCTGTTAAATATGAGTGGGAATAAGAGAGGGAAGAGATGTACAATTTGGGACATGCTCAAGCTGACTTGCCCCAAATGGTAGAGTTAGAAACATACCAGGGGATTCCAATTCAATCCCATCAAGGTGGCATGTACCAATGCCATCTCACTATTCCAAGTGATCAATTTCAGTTCACAATTGATCATAATGAAAGGACTAAGAGTCAAAGGGAGCACATAAACAAATCTAGTACCTGCTAATACTAACCGATAGAATAAATAAAGGAGAGAGCGATCCAACATGGGAAGCAAGATACACAGCAGACTCATAGAAAGGCAGATGTCCTAAACAGCACTCTGGCCTCAGAATCAGCCCTAAAGCCATTCGGATCTGGCTGAAAAGCCCATGAGAGTATTTCAGGCATGGAAAGCCAAGACACTCTGGCAAAAAAATAAAAAAGTGAGATCCCAGGGGAAAGAACAGGTCTTCAAAGAAGGAGGTACCTTTCTCTGAAGGGAGGAGAGAACTTCCACTTTGACTATGACCTTGTCTAAACAAGATAAGAGTCGGAGAACTCAGAGGGCTTCCATAGCCTTGGAAACTCATGACTGGAGCATAGGGAGATTACTGATGCCATAGACAGGAGTGTCAATTGGTAAAGTCAACAACAGGAGTCACTGTGCACTTACTCCTCATGTAGGATCTCTGTCCTTAATGTGCTGTGTATTGAGATTTAATGCTATAACGAGTACTCAAACAATATATTTCACTTTGTGTTTCTACGGGGGTGCAAACTGTTGAAATCTTTACTTAATGTATACTAAACTGATCCTCTGTAAAAAAAAAAAAAAAAAAAAAAAAAATCTCAACTCCCAACTTGACTCTCACTGGGATTAAACATGACAATAGGTCTGATCTGATTTCATCATCATTTAAAAAAAATCATCTATTATTTTTCACTTTATGTTTCTGTGTGGGAGCAAACTGTTGAAATCCTTACTTAATGTATACTAAGCTGATCTTCTGTATATTAAGATAATCGAAAATGAATCTTGATGTGAATGGAAGGGGAGAGGGAGTGGGAAAGGGGAGGGTAGTGGGTGGGAGGGACGGTATGTGGGGGAAGCCATTGTAATCCATAAATCGTACTTTGGAAATTTATATTCATTAAATAAAAGTTTAAAAAAAATCAGATGTCCATTAGTCAGCAACTCACCGTTAAACAGTAACAACATCTTCAATGACAGTTAAAATAGTATAAAAAATAAAACCTCAAGATCTCCCTCCTTTAAATGGTAACTGAAGTTATATTTCCCCATCCTTGTTGTTGGAAAAAGTATTAATGTGTGAGTAGCATTTAAAAAACACATTGGACTTCAAATTGTTAAGTCTATCAAATGCAAACTCTTTAAGATGAAAGATTCTGTGATACTTTACTGTGGATTAAAAAAAGGATAGGACTGAGTTTAAAAAAACTTGGAACTTAATCAAACTGAATTCACTGTATTATTACAATGAATTCATCAGTGTAAGTCACACAGTTTCTCTGGTTATCTGGCATATATGTAAGATGAAGGGAATCTGCAATAATATTGCCAATATCCATTCAGATTTTCAATAATCCAAACTCCTGTAATTCTACAATCTGTCTCTAAGCATTCTTTTTGGCTATCTCAATGCTAATTTTAACTAATTATATTTACCATACTAATTAGTAGAGAATAAATAATATCTTAACTTGGATAGTTATGGAAGACTTTGCAAATGAGATAACTATTGAATGAATGAAATTGAAGGAATTCTGAAAAATAACCTAACAGAATATTTCAGATCTGTGCCATGTTGCAATTAAATGTATAAAAGCAGTTTAGCTGAACAGCTGAGGATCAGTTGATTCTTTAAAATAGAGCAAAACAATAAAACTAATTTTGCCACTGAAGTTGTATTTGGTACCAACTGTTGAACAGTCATATCCCAACATCCTTCCTAATACATTGTAGTTAAACAATATTAATCTGCCAAGTGCCTAAATAGTGATGAAAGTGAATTATATTTGACATTATGCAGTCGTTTAGGGTCCTTGGAATGTAGGAGTGTTAATTCCACTGGCATGTACAGTCAATAGGTTCCTGGAGAGTGTACATAATCTCAGTGCCATTTCCTGAGCAATATAGAGGCACAGAAATGTTTCGCACTCCATTTTCACGACAACACTTGCAAAATCTGAGGTGACTTTCCATATTGATGTTATATATGGTAGCTGATGGGCATTTTCCATCACAAGAAGCAATATTGATCTGTAGGGAGAGACAAAGAAGAGAATGTCTTAAATTTTAAAAGCACCCTTTATGGTTGGATTCCGCAAGGCGTCTGAGGGAAGCAAGGCTTTTTCTTCCTCATCACTTCATGTTAGAAAGTTGTGGAAAGTAACAAATGGAAACTTAACTCCAGAGAGAAGTTCACTGGCAATGCCCAACCTAGCAATGCTGATACAACTTAAGGCTTGAAATGTGCACACATAGATAGATGGAATAAATGAACCATAACCTAAAGAAGCTGTTGTCCCCTGTGTTATTCCATGGCTCAAGTAGACTATGGAATTGAAAGGTCATATTAAAGGAGGCGAGTGAGAATTAGAACTATTTTTGCTCAGTAACATTACACAGTTAAGACAATATGTGTTCAAATATAATTTGATCCAATTTCCATCTCTCTGGATTGCAGTTTTCATTCAGAATTGGTTGTTGTACATGCTAAGAATAATTATACTTCTTCACAAATGGAATATTTTAAGACTGGAATGTAGGAATCACTTCAAAGTTAAATATTGTATTTGTTGACATTTTGTTGGCTTATAAAAGTGTTAGTACTGGAACACATATACTTCTGGAAAGATGCATGCTTTGATGTGACAAATGAAATTTTTCTACTTACAGAACTTTGGCTTACACAATCCTGTTTCCTTATGATTGATTTAATGATCACTTTCTGGCATATTTTTTCTTCTCGTTTGCCTGATAAAATATAGAATATTTACTCATCAAAAGGCCTAACTTAAATTGTTAGTTAATTCAAATACATGAATGTGTTTAAATTTTACAACTGATATAGTTATATAAAATTCAGTATTAAAAGATTTTTCAAATTTCAGTCATATATTTTACATATAATATTTACTTGTACTTTCAAAATAGGCTCTATTTCCTAGCATTATACTTATTTGTTCTTACTTTTTATATTTTGTCTTACAATATTATCATAATCACATAAAAAAATCTCCACACCTATATTGTGACATCAATTTGTGTATGGTATATATACATGTGTAAAACAATTTTTGGACTGAGTCACAATAGATGTAACTAAATATATATATAATGAATATATAAAAATACATACATATCAATTTGAAATGAAAACTGATATCAAAAACTGTATTATCTTATTGGATATTGATCTAAATTAGTACAAAAATGTAACTGAATTGCTTACCAACCATATTCAACTGTACAGGTGAAATAGATTTGATTTGATAGCTCTGACATAATCTTTTATAAAAATTAAAAATAAGAACACTTTGCATTCAGCAGTGACATATTAATATGTGTCTTTGTGACAAATTTCCACTTAGTAATTGCACTCCAGAATATACTGAGCCCATTTGCTGTTGTGTGATAACAGTTGTAACTCCTGAATTAGAATGCGAAAGATCAAGTATTTAACCTCACTTTGTATTAATTTTCTTTGTCACTTTAGGAAAATCACAAAATTATTCTCATGAAGTTTCCTTTTTTGCAAATAAGTAGATTATATCACCAATTTTTAAGTGAGTTTAGCCATAAAATCCTTGGTTAAAATAAATGCATATACAAAATCCTAACATGTAAAGTAACTAAAAGTTATGCTACTCTGGTTGAAGGTGGGATGGGTAGCTTAGATTGTCTGAACTTAAATTTTGTCAAGGTCACCCATAACCTCCAAACTGCTGAATTCAAAGGCCATCCCAGGTCTCATCCTAGGGTACCTCACGACAGCATTTGCTCCAGTCTATCACTCTGTCTATTTTAAAACTTATTTCACCTCCTTGGTCTCCTCTGCTGCTTCATTCTTTCTTTCCCATTCAATCATAGCTTAGCTCAAAACAGTGTTCTTGGTGGAGTTCAGGCTGTTTTGTGCCTCTATGGTGCTTCCAACAATTAGCCTGTCTTCTCTCATAAAAGTTTAAGGAAAAGGAATAGTCAAAAAGGAAATTATCTTTACCACCATCGGCACCTCATGCTATTCTACCACTTTCCTCCCTTCACTCCATGTGCTTTTGGAGCATGTTGCTATTTCCTCCACTTTCAACACTCTCCACTACTCCAGTGGCTCCCCAGGCTCTTCTAAATGACACCTCATCATAGACATGTTACCTAGGCCCCCACCTAAATTAACCACCCAGCTCCTCTTGCTTTCATTTGGTACTATTTTTCTTCACAGGGTTCACCACTATCTGACGTTGTTAGTATGCATTTATGTGGCTATTGTTTCTTCTTCCACTTGATAATAAGCACTGTATCATGCAGATATTATCCCCCCCCTTTTTAGCTTTTATCTTTCTTCTTTTTAGAAATTGATTTAAGCTATACAAGTTTCATGTATTTCACAGACACAGATTTAGGAACATGGTGATACTTCCCAGACACTCTTATACTCCCAGTGCCTAAAAGGGTGTCTGTATATATATGCACCCAATAAAAACCTGCTTGATAAGCCACTGGTACAATGAATAAAACTGAGACAGCATCAATTCATTGTTAGTTAGCTGTATTTGTTTGTGCCAAGAGGCACTTCCTTCTCATTCCTGAGAGACTTTGCTACAATATGTTTGGTTTAGCACAACACAACCATCACAATCTCCCCAACATAGCATGGTCTCCCAAAAGAAAGACCACAGTCACGGGTTTTCCAACAATAGATCTGTGTCTATGAACTATTGGTAATCTCTTCTCTTCATACGACTACTAATCATGATAACAAAACAGAAACTATCCTGGACCTTACACATCAGATGAGAGGAATCAAAATGGCTTATTGTTATTCTTCCACATGAAAAAGCATGGCAGAGATAAAAGAGATTGGACACAGACGTTGTACAGTCATCCATTACTGACTAGTGAGATTAACTTCCTCAATCTTCATTTTCTCATCTATGGAAAAAACCATGTCTACTTCCTAGAACTGTTTGGGGGATTACCTGTGGCCTGACTACAATAGTACTAAAAGAGCATCACTGTGTGGCAGGAGGTAAGTGATAGTTCATATAATCAGAGGTCCAATAATTAAAAATGCATATGGAGTATTATACTAACCACAAAGTACCAGCAATATAATTGTAATGGCCTGAATTATGTCTTCCAAAATTCCTATAGGTCCTAGAAGGTGACATTATTTGGACACAGGTTTGTACAGGGGAAACCAAGTGAAACTGAGATCTGTAGAGAGGCCATAATCCAACATGACTGGTGTCCTTATAAAAAGGGGAAATGTAGACAGAAACACGTATAAAGGGATAGATAACATGCAAACTTGAAGAGGGCCACCTACAAGCTACAGAGAAAGACCTTTTCCTCACTGCCCTCAGAAGGAACTAATCCTGCCCTAAAGCTTGTTTTTGGACTCCTAGCCTGCAGAACTGTAACACAATGAGCTTCTGGTATTTAAAAAACTCATTTGGTAGTCCCTTGTTCAAACAACCCAGCAAGCCAATGCAATTACAAATTAGTCATCAGGCCACCATCCATTGGGCCTTTTGCGCTTGTTGTAGGTATGTGAGTGTTGTATTTGGCTTTTCACACATCAAATTAACAGAAACTCAGACTTGTGATCAGCAGAGCTTATCTCTGCCCTCTCCTAAAATTTATTCTGGGTATGTTCTAGAATACCATGGATAGGTAAGAGGCAGGTTTTGAAATTATGCAAGACCACTTACAAGTGGTATAACTTGGATCTGTTACTTAACTTCTCTACACTGAAAATTAGGATATTTTTCAGAACCTACTTCACTGGACTTTTGTGAGGAATAAATAATATGTAGAAAATTAAGGAGATTTTCTGATCTATAAGCTTTTATTATGTTCAATTGTGTATTAACATGTTGTGTCTATATTTAATAAATTTTTAAATATGCTATTCAATATGACTTACAGCTCTAAGTAAATAAGACTACTCTTACAGATTTATTTGATTTACCCTAGTATCAAAGAAGTTTTAAAATCTCATTTGAGAAGTATATTTTGTATCTAAACTTATACCACGGCATTATTAACCTAAACTGTGTTATACTTCTTTTCCTGAAAGTTCACTAAATAAATTTTAAATTACTGTTGATGACAATTTTCCTAAAATTTCTTTTTTATAGTGACATAACTTCATAAACACTTTAAAAAGAAAAATGGTTACATGAATATCCCTCTATTCTGCTTCAGTCCTTAAAATCATCCTTAATCACTATGAAATGAACCTTTTAATTTACGCTAGTACAAAGAATATTATCATATGAATGTAATTATCAGAACTTTAATTGTCAGGATAATTATGAGAACCATCATATACTGGATTTAAATATAATCCACTAAAACAGTATTTTCTAAATGTTTAGCGCAGAAGCATAGGCTTGTTAAATTGAATGGAAAATACTGCATTTTCTAGGTCCTTATTGGAGTCATCATGCCATTTCAAGACACTTAACTTTATGTGCTTTAGCATGTCCTAAACAATGTTGACCATAGGGCACTTCTAAACTTAAAACACATTAAAATCTCATCAAATATCTTTTGAGAGATACCATAATAAGGAAATTTCCAATATTTAAGTTAAAATTGATCTGAATTAAAAGCACTTTACTCACACTCCAGAAGATAAAGTTAAAGTATGAAGTTATCAACTACATAACACAAAAAGATTCAAAAATGCATTTATAAAATTTGTTTACATCCATGCATCACAGGAATTGACTTTTAGAAGGAAAACTGTAATCACCATGAGGAATTAAGTCTAATCTATCAAGTTAATGCATGTAATGTGTTCTCACTTACAGATCTTGCAACAGCCTTCGTTATAAAGCTTTACAATTCCTTCATTCTAGAAAGAGAGGAGAGGAAAGTTTTAAAAATACATGTTAATCCATTTCCTCTTGGACTACAAATAGAAAACTAACCTTCCTCATATTTTTATCAGATATCACAAAGTCTTTGTAGGAAACTGACTGGATTTATTTCTAATAAATATTTGTTTTAAAATTAAAAATAAGTACTTAAAATTACATTATTTCTATATCAACAATATGAAAAATTATGAAAAGATTACTCAACCTAAAAGAACACATTTAAAATACCATGAAATATTTTCCCCAAAACAAAATACTAACAATTATTCTAAATAGACACTATTATATTATTTTTTCTATGATTTGAAATGATCTAAAATACCCTATTTAGGTTGAGATTCTCAACATAATGTAATGTCAAAAGGCCATGTCTTTTGCTTTAATATTTTATTAATGAAAACATCCCTGGAGGCCGGTGCCATGGCGCACTAGGTTAATCCTCTGCCTGCAGCGCCGGCATCCCATGTGGGCGCCTAGTTCTAGTCCCAGTTGCTCCTCTTCCAGTCCAGCTCTCTGCTGTGGCCTGGGATGGCAGTGGAGGATGGCCCAAGTGCTTGGGCCCCTGTACCCGCATGGGAGACCAGGAAGAAGCTCCTGGCTCCTGGCTTTGGATTGGCTCAGTGCCAGCCGTAGCGGCCATTTGGGGGGTGAACCAACGGAAGGAAGACCTTTCTCTCTGTCTCGCTCACTGTCTTTAAACTCTACCTGTCAAATAAATTTTAAAAAAAATTCCTGAACTCAAGATGGTTCTGGTCTAAGGCTAAATTAATACAATTTTATTGAATAGCTTTTGAAATTCTTTTTTTCCTTTATTTTATTTATTTGAAAGGCAGAGTTAGAGAGAGAGAGGGAGAAAAGGAGGGAGGGAGGCAGGGAGGGAGGAGAAAGAGAGAGAGAGAAAAAAAATATTTTCTGTCTACTGGTTCACTTCCCAAATGTCTGGAGTGGCTGGGGGCTGGACCAGGCCAAAGTCAAGAGCCAGGAGCTTCATCCTGGTCTCCCACGTGGGTGCAGGAGCCCAAGTGCTTAGGCCATCTTCTGCTGCTTTTCCAGGTACATTAGAGGGAGTTGGATAGGAAGTAGAGCAGCTGGGAATTGAATGGGTACCCATATGAGATGCTGGCATAGCAGGCAGCAGCTTTACCTACTATGCTATAACACCAGCCCCAGGCTTTTGAAATGCTTAAGATAACAGCTAATTGCTTTTAGTAATTTGTTAGTTATAATTCAAATAAAAGAATAATTTACTCCATAAAGCTGAGTCTTTTTTTTTTTTTTACAGGCAGACTGGACAGTGAGAGAGAGAGACAGAGAGAAAGGTCTTCCTTTTTCCTTTAGTTCACCCCCCCCCCCCCCCAAATGGCCACTGCGGCTGGCGCACCGTGCTGATCTGAAGCCAGGAGCCAGGAGCCTTCTCCTGGTCTCCCACGTGGGTGCAGGGCCCAAGGACCTGGGCCAACCTCCACTGCACTCCCGGGCCAGAGCTGGACTGGAAGAGGAACAACCAGGACAGAATCCGGCGCCCCGACCGGGAATAGAACCCAGCGTGCCAGCGCTGCAGGCAGAGGATTAGCCGTGGCGCCGGCTAAAGCTGAGTCTTTGAAATAATTTGATGCCTACATTTCCTACCAGAGTTGAAATTCTATGACTTTACTACATGTTATAACTATATAGATAGCCATCATCATTAAAAGGGCACATCTTGAAAACAAATTAATGAACTATGCTCTCTACACAACTGAATAAAACTCACTGTCCATTAGATTATTATTGCCTAAATAATTAAAATATGAAGAATCTTAGAAATAAAAATTACATCACCATAAAAAATCTACCAGTAGATTCTTTCCTGAGAGTAGGAACTTAGTTGACCAAAACTAAAGGACTGGTAATGCTGTAGACTTGTGCTGAGTTCCCCAGTGGCCTGTCTCAGAGAAGCCATAGCAAATGCTACTATGCTGGCATGCATTAAAAGGTGAATGACATCATAAATATGGCTACTGGTCTAAGAAAGAAAACTGGCCAAACTCTGCTTAACTTATTAATCCGTATAAAGAGGGGGAGGGCTAGGTCTGCTGACCAAATGATTTTTCAATAATCTTTGGATCTTTATATAAAAACCCAGATAGAGCAAAGTATCTGTTTAGAGAGAGTCAAATGTGGAACACATGTATAACTCAAAATAACAAACTGAGGATTTATAATAGAGCTTTTAATTACACATGCAAATGAAACATTCACCTAATAAATAAATGACCTTGGAAAACATATTTATGTGTATTTCCTAAATTATATTTAAGTTGCATGTTTTTAGGTATAACCAAGTACAAACCATTTTGCATTCAGTCTCATTAAAAGGGGGGCAGACCATACTGTAGTTCAGAATCATTGCCCCTTCACCAGTCTTAACACATTCATATGTGGTACAATTATAGTGCCAGGTACTCCCTTCCTAAAAATAAAAGAGAAAGGTTACTGTTTCTGCATATCAAAATTGGTTGTATTTCTTAAGTGGAATATTTTCTGTCCTATCTAAGAAATCAAAAGTCAAATCAAGATGCATAGAGCTCATTTTAATATAAAATGTTCCAATTAAAATTATTCCCAAATTTATCTAAAATGATTAAAAATGCATATAGATGTATTGCGTGTTCTTATATGTTAGGTTTCACACTAGAACTGAGATGTTGATGTGAAATAAAGCAACAGAGATGAAAGAAGAAGATAGGAATCTGTTTCCACTTACAAAATTGGTTATGTAATTTGGCCATATGTCAAAGGTCTTGTTCCAATATTTCCTCACTAATTATAAATAACAAATCATCTTACTGATGGACATCCTCTATTGAGATTTTTTATTCTTCCCTGTATTACCTTATCATCAGAAAAATTTTTTACAATATTTGGATGGTGGTCTTACTGACTTATGGTTCTAATTTTGTATATCTTGTAGCTATTTTAAGATCTGTTACTATTCTTTCTTAAAATGTTTAAATATAATAACTGATTTCTTCCTGATTTCAGAATTCCTATTTAAAAATAAAGCCAGCTGAAGTAATTATTACATAATTATTGGGCAGAGATTGTTGATATATATTTTTGTCTTATAATCCATATTTTGAAATAACTCTGGTTTGAAGAGTCTTTGCAGTCAAGTGAAGAATCTCATGAACCTGACTATATTGTTTTTCTTAGACTCTATCTTAATTTATGAACAGTATTGGTTATGCTATGAACCTCAGTTGAAAAAGATCTATATATCCAGTTGTAAAAGAAGGTAAAATGCCCAAATCAGAAAATATAGTATGGCAATATCTAATTTATCTGAAAGAAAAATTAGCTCTTTCTTTGAAAAATTAATTGCTATTTTCCTGTGAAATGACTAGAAATCAGAATTTCCCAAAGCTATTCTTCATATTTGGGGAAAAGGGTAAAGGTATGATAATCATAAAAAAGAAGGTAAACATATTTCTTTACTATAGAAAGTAACAGATAATTTAAAATGTAATAAATGCAACTCTCTCATATATGGAAAATGTATTGTATCTGAGCATGTTTATTGTATGTAAGGAAGGTATGTGTGTGCATGATACATTTTCCAAACTTATTGACTCAAGAGTCTTTTTCGGAAAATATCACAGAGAGCTACCCTCCAAGGACCACATTTTGAGGAATAAAAGTTTAATACCTCATATATAACTGATGTTCCATTTTCCATTTGAAATTTGCAGGATACATTTTTGCAGGTACCACAACAATCATAATCACTTGTGGATGGGGTATATACCTGGTGCTGCATTTAATGAAAATACATGGAATTAGCCACAGAATATTACCAATATATTTAGTGAATTCGTTCTGGAGGTGCTTCCCACCATAACTATACACCTCTCTGAATAGCTGTGTGCATTTCTAAGGTTGAATTCGAGGAGCTTCCAATAATAATCGACTTTATATAGCTTTGCTGGAAGTAAAGAAGCTGTTAACCTTTGTATCTTAGAGCCAAGATTCATCAAGCAAATGTAACAACCCCAGGGCAATCAGGTTGGCAAGCTGCAGATAATAAAACTCTTAAAGCTCAAGGTCACACACAGTGAAGTATAAGTATGCTGTACATAGATAGATTACAAAATAATAGACTACTGGAAACTATTTAAGTATATGTTTTTAATTCATTGAGTATTTACTACTTCATTTTTTATAGCTGCCATTTTTTTAGTTTCATTAATTCTCAGCAAAATGACTTATAACATCTTATACTTACAACATCACATTCTTTTGAACAATTCACCATTGTAAAATTCAAAGTGTGAAAGCCTGTAAGGTTATCTTTTTCTTCCAGACACTCTATTGTATAACAGAAGTCTCCTTCCAAATACTTTATCATAGATTGTCCAGGATTTAACACCGATACGTCTTGAAACACACACACATCATCCTTTTCTAAGAAAAGAAGTAAGCAAGAAAATAGTCAATGAGAAAATATGATACTGATATTTTGATCAATGGATCTTATATTTAAGTTTATATTGTCACTGTGATGTGCCAAGTTTTCAAAACCAATGAGGATCATCACCTTAATATATCAGTAGTAACCCAAGAGTTTACTTAACAATGACTGTAACACATTTATTCCTTAGCAAATCGATCTATAATCTGACCTTCCACCAAAAAAAAAAAAAAATCTGTAATCTGACCTTCCACCAAAAGTTATATTTGGAAGCAGGTTCCAGATGACGAGATCTCAAGCAAGGGCAATCTACCTGCTGCTCCCTCTTCAAGAGGAAACACATAGCCACCGTTAGGGGTGGAAGTGGGTGGAAGCAAAGACTAATTCTATAGTCCAAGGCCTCTTCGTGAAAAGACTGGGTGACATTTTATGGTTTTTAATGATTGTCTTGAGGGAAATGTTTCAGTTTTCGGTGTTGTAAAATCAACTTTCATGTGAGTCATATTTCACGAGAGGGGTAGCAGGCCTCAGGGCTGGCCTGTTTCCACACAGGAAGTCAGAATAGCTGGGCAGTGACGAAGAACTCAGCACGGAAGCTCCTGTGCATCCCCAACACTGAACTTCATCTTCTTTCCTTTAAAAATACACAAACTTCAATCTGTTTGAACAGAAATTCTATTTTCTACTAGCCTACCAATACTTAAGATGAAGATGTGTAACTTTGCAGAAAAATAAAATTAATTCTTTATTATATTAACAAGAATCATAACAAAACAACAGGCAAAAATATGCTCACGCTTTCAGGCATAATGTTTTTTTAAATTAAATACAGATATGTTAAAACAGTCAGTATTATCTTTAAAAAAATCTGTGAATCCACTTAAAAAATATTTTTTTGACCAATTATCAAATTTCATAGAACAGTTGAAGATATCACAAAATGGCAAATTGAAAAATAATTGTTATTTTTTAAACACAAATACTGCTGAATGGCTTAATATGTATAATATATATCTCGAATAAAATAATTTTACATTTATTAATAATGAATAATATATACTAATAATATTATTTATCATTTAAAAGTTACAAAACAAACACATAGTTACCACAGAGATACTGTACACATCCACAGTCACTCTGAAAGGTAAGGTCTATTGCAGTAAATTCTCCCTATTAGAAAGATATTGTTATTATTATTATATAACTAGTGATAGAGCTTATTCTAATTGTAAAAAATGCACTTTATAACATCTAATAAGTTCCTTGCCACACAGATAGACATAGCAAGTGCTTACTAAATATTTCCTGGTGAATAAGTTTGTATTAACCCTGTTGTCATTTAATCAGTAGTCTGCAGAAAACATTCAAATAAATAATGTGGCCACACATCACTCAATTCCTCTACATTTCAACTTCGTTAACTATTAAGTGAGAGAAGGTGCAGAAGGTGATTGCCAGGTCATCCTAACGTAAAAATCATACATCTGGACTCTGAGCTTCTAGCAGGCAATTGGAGATAAGAAAACACTTGCTGATCCTGCAAACTTTGCTTGGGAGAAGTGTTCTTGATCTGCTCTATAGAGGTGGTCCAGGGCTCCGATGTCTGCACCCAAACCAGGGTGCCATCACAGTGCCAGAGCAGAAGGATTTGGCACGGTGGTCAGCAGCAAAGACTCTAGAACAGGGCTGCTTTTGTGTCAGTTCTGGCTCTGCCATTTATTGGTTGTGTGAACTAACGCTTATTACTTAACCAGTTTGTGCCTCACTTCCCTCATGTATAAAGAGGATAATGACATCGCCTTCCCCTTAGGATTGTTGAGAGAAATAAATGGGTCAACAGAAGTAAAGAGCTGACACAGAGAAAGTGCTGGATAAATGAAACCAAGCTTCCAGCCCCTTAATGTCTTTGATGTAGACTTCATCAGACTCCAGTCTCCCTCCCTCGATGTGCAGGTCCTCTTATCTTCTCACCACAAGTCACCCCTTACTAAAGATTAACTCACAAAGTCAAGGGGGTGATACTGAGGTCCTGCTCACCTTAGAACACCCCAGGTCACAAGATTCAGAATTCACCTCTATAGTTAACTTCATCAATTCTAGACTCCATTTCGAGTCACTTCATAGGAACTCTAGGCCTACAAAGGAATAACCGTCCTAGACCTCAGTGGGACTGGAGCTCACTTTGCCATCACGGAAGTTTCAGAACATGCCTCCTATTTCTGACCAGACAAGAGAAGGGCGGCAGCACTGTGGACCAGCAGGAGACCTGAACATGAGCTGGACACATACTGCTCAACTGCAGTTTTAATCTGTGATTGACAACCCTTAAACCTTTGGGGAGTTCAGGGATTGAGCAATAGCTGTCTAACTCCTTGCTTGGTACATTGCAAAACAAACTACTTTCTTCCACCCCTCTGGGGTCAGTGATTGGCTTGCCTTGTGTTGGGCAGGCATGGGGTTCTATAATATAACCATAATCTGTTAATAAACTGTTGTCATGGTGTTGCCCCTGGAATGGTATAGAATCCTCATGTGAGTGTAAGATCAAGGTTAAAGTTGCCAGAACTTTCCTTTAAACAACTGTTCCTGAGTACATTTAATTTTCTTTTGATATCAGTAATATAATGAATTTGATTATTTTTTTAAAGATTTATTTATTTATTTGAAAGGCAGAGTTACACAGAGAGAGGAGGGACAGAGAGAGAGAGAGAGAGAGAGAGAGAGAGGTCTTCCATCTGATGGTTCACTCCCCAATTGGCCACAACGTCCAGCGCTGCGCCGATCTGAAGCCAGGAGCCAGGAGCTTCCTCTGGGTCTCCCATGCAGGTGCAGGGGCCCAAGAACTTGGGTCATCTTCTACTGCTTTCCCAGGCCACAGCAAAGAGCTGGATAGGAAGTGGGGCAGCTGGGTTTCGAACCGGCACCCATATGGGATGCCGGCGCTTCAGGCCAGGGCATTAACCCGCTGCGCCACAGTGCCAGCTCCAGAATTTGATTATTGATACAAAGAAATGCTTCAAATAAATTCAAGGTAACATATAAGAGGTGCTTTTTCTGTAAGGTAATAATATCTGTTTTCTTAGTGCCTTATAAGCTGTAGCTTCATAAAGACAACTCATATGATGTTCTATGTCTTTGGTCAATTCCAACTGAACTGGAAATCAAATGTTCAAATAATGGAGTGAAAAAACACAATAATAAATCAAATTTTCCAAGTGCTACTTCAAAGATGGACTATTATTAGGTTTTTATCAACTCTTTTAGGTCACTTACTCAATGATTTTGTAACGGTAATGATTTTGTATTTTTTATTTATTTATTTGACAGGCAGAGTTAGACAGAGAGAGAGAGAGAGAAAGGTCTTCCTTCCGTTGGTTCACCCCCCAAATGGCCGCTACAGCTGGCTTGCTGCGCTGGTCCAAAGCCAGGAGCCAGGTGCTTCCTCCTGGTCTCCCATGCGGGTGCAGGGTCCAACCACTTGGGCCATCCTCCACTGCCTCCCTGGGCCACAGCAGAGGGCTGGACTGGAAGAGGAGCAACCGGGACAGAATCCGGCGCCCCAACCGGGACTAGAACCTGGGGTGCCGGCGCCACAGGCGGAGGATTAGCCTAGTGAGCCGTGTGCCGGCCAATGGTAATGATTTTGTAACTACAATGCTCACCTTTCCTCTCATCTTTAGACTTAAATATTCTATTTTCCCCTTACAGATTGAGGTTTTTCCACATATTTAGTTACCCTTTTAATCTCCTGAATGCCCAATTTCATCTAGAAGAATTATTTCCTTGATTATTCTACAATACTTAGTAATCTGTCAAATATGATGGCATTTTTACTCCCAAGTAAGTAACCCTCTCCTTTAAGCTGAGTAGTGAAATCACCTTAGGCATTTTACATTTTCTGACTATTATAAATGGTGGTATTATGAACATTTGGGTACAGGTTTTTGTTTGAATATGTTTTCATTACTTTTTTTAAAAAAATATTTATTTTTGAAAGGTAGAGCCACAGAGAGGCAGAGGCAGAGGCAGAGAGAGGTCTCTCATTTGCTGGGTCACTCCCCAGATGGCCGCAAAGGCCAGAGCTAGGCCTATCTGAAGCCAAGGGCCAGGAGCCCCTTCCAGTCTCCTATGTGAGTACAGGGACCCAAAGACTTGGGCCATCCTCCACTGCCTTACCAGGCCACATCAGAGAGCTGGATGGGAAGCAGAGCAGCAGGGACTTGAACCGGCGCCCACGTGGGATTCTGGAACCGCAGGCAGCACCCTACCCATCATGACATAGTGCTGGCTCCTCATTAATTTTTTACAAAATATTTATTTATTTGAAATGCAGGGTTACAGTGAGAGAGGGAGAGAGAAAGAGAGAGATCTTTAATCTTCTGGTTCACTCCCCAAATGGCTACAATGGCCACCGCTGGGCCAGGTTGTAGCCAGGAACCTCATCCGGGTCTCCCACGTGGATGTACGGGCCCAAGTACATGGGCCATCTTCCACTGCTTCCCCAGGCACAGGAGGGAGCAGCCAGGACTTTAACTGGCACCCATTAGGATGCTGGCACTACAGGTGGTGACCTAACCCACTGCTCTGCAACGGCAGCCCTTATGTTTTCATTTCTTGTGGGTATTTACCTGGGTCATATGGTAACTTTATGTTTACCCTTTGTGTAACAGCCAGGTTGTTTTCCGAAGAAACCACACCATTTTACATCACCATCAGCAATATGTAGGGGTTCTAATTTTCCACATCTTTGCCAACATGTTTTATTATCTTTAGTGGGGTGGAAGTGGTATCTCATTATAGTTTTGATTTGCTTTTAACTGATGGTTAGTGATATTAAGAATCTTTATATGCAATTGATCATCTGTGTATCTTATTTGAATACATTTCTGGATACATTTGTACATTCATACAATGGAATATTGTCCAACATTAAAAAGGAATGTAGTAGTGACACATGCTACAACATGGATGAACCTTGAAAACACTGTTAAATGAAAGGAATCAGACACAAAAGAGCACTTGTGGGGTGGGCGTGGTGGCACAGCGAGTTAGGCTGCTGCTTGTGCTACCCACATCCCATATTGGAGTGCTGGTTGAGTCCCCTCGATACCACTTCTAATCCAACTTCCTGCAAGCATTCCTGAGAAGACAGTAGACGATGGTCCAAGTACTTGGGTCCCTGGCACTCCGAGGGAGACCCAGATGGAGCTCCTGGCTGTTGCTGGCATTTGGGTAGTGAACAGCAGGTTCTGTATCTCTTTCTTTCTCCTCTTCTTTTGTCACTTTTTCTTTCAAATAATTAAATAAAATTCTTAAAAAATAACACACATTATATAGTTCCATTTATATGAAATGTCCAGAATGAACAAATCTTTAGAGACAGAAAGTAGATTAGCACTTTCTGAAGGCTGGAGACTTTCCACAGAAATGAAGAGTAACTGTTAATAGGTAAGGGCTTTCATTCAGGCATTATGGTATCCTAAAATTGGTTGTGTTGATGGTGGCACAATTCTGTAAATAAACTAAAAACCACTGAATTGTGCACATTAAAAGGCTGAATTATATGATATTTGAATCCTCTCTCGATAAAAGTGTTATTTCTTAAATAAAACTGCAAATAGTTTAGTATACATTCTTTACATTGAAGCATAGTTGTTACCTATGTGAACAAATAATTTGACTTTTAAAATTATATCACCTTGGACATTAAAATAAACACTTAAACATCATTCAAAATGAGCACTCACACACACAAGGGATGAGGTTCATTGCCCATGTAAAACCATGAATGTTAAAACTGAATCAATGGGGTGGGTGCTGTGGCATAGTGGGCTAAGCCTCTGCCTGCACTGCAGGCATCCCATATGGGAGCCGGTTCAAGTCCTGGCTGCTCCAGTTCCCATCCAGATCTCTGCTGTGGCCTGGGAAAGCAGTGGAAGGCAGCTCAGTGCTTAAGCCCCCACCCCAACATGGGAAACCCAGAAGAAGCTAACAACCTAGCTCTGGCCATTGCGTCCATTTGGGGAGTGCACCAGCGGATACAAGACCTTTCTTTCTGTCTGTCTCTCTCTCTGTGTGTGTGCGTGTGTGTGTCTGTAACTCTACCTCTCAAATAAATAAATAAATCTCACACAAAAAAAAACACAACTAAACCATTATGTATGGGGAATTTTTGTATATTAATTTTGGATGTTCAACCATATTGAAGCTACTGTTGTGTACCTAGTACTGTGCTAATAAAAGCACCAAATATTCACTGGGAACAATGAGTAATGTCAACTTTGGATTCATAACTGATATTCAGATGTTGAAACTTGATCTGGGAGGGTCAGCATTGTGGTGTAGTGGTAAAGCCACCATGTGCAATGCTAGCATCTCATATGGGTGACAGTTTGTGTCCTGGCTGTTCCACTTCTGATCCAGCTCTCTGCTAATGGTTTGAGAAAAGCAGCAGAAAATAGGCCAAGTACTTAGGGTCCTGCTACCCCTTTGGGAGACCTGGAAAGAGCTCCTGGCTCCTGGATTGTGCCTGGCCCACCCCTGGCATGTTGTGGCCATCTGGGGAGTGAACCAGCAGATGGAAGATATTCTCGCTCTCTCTCACTCCCTCTCCCTCTGTAACTATTTCAAAAAAGTAAATCTTAAAAAAAGAAAACAAATAAGTTGATGTGGAAATAAGCTAGAGAGGCCAGCACCTAGCACAAATGTTCAGAGGAGAAGTGGACAATGGAAGAAATCCAAAAGAAAAAAGCATGGTGCTGGACAGGAGGGGTTGCATTTGGTATAATACTTAGGGAGGTCATGTGGGATGTTCACATCCCATACTGGAGTGCCAGGGTTCAAACCCTGGTTCTGCTGCCAGTCCAGGCTTCTTATTACTGTATACCCTGGGAAGCAGCAGAGGGCACAAGTGTTTGGGCCCCTCTATCCATACTCAGATGGAGTTCTTGGTTCCCGGCTTTGGCCTGGCCCAGTCCTTGCTACTGTAGGCATTTGAGGAGCAGATGAAAGTCTCTCTCTCTCTCTCTCCTCTTTCCTCTCTCCATCTCTCTCCCTTCCTCCCTATTTCCCTCCATCTATCTATCCTTATCAAATAAATAAATAATGAAAATTTAGAAGTCAGAATAAAGTAACAACCAGACCAAGGTTAGTGAAGGAACAAAGGTTTCAACACAAAGAAGCTTCTAATGGTCAGACCATAGGAAACATAAAATCCCATAGGAGAAAGAGCCAGATTTTGATTATGTTGGAAGTTACTGAAATATCCCCAAGACGCTTTGTTACCTCTTGCTGGTCAGCACAGGACCTATGAATGAAAATGGCTACAACTGGAATCCCAGGGACCTTGCTCTGAGTTTTCCTGTGGTGATCAGACTGTCCAAAGACCCACCGGTGCACTTGAATTATGGTGTACAAGGCTTATAGCCTGAAAGTGTTGTGTTTTTAGATCTCTCTCGCTCATCATCTCTCTCTGTCTTTGTCGCTGTCTGTCTCTCTCTCTCTCTGTCTCTATCTCTCTCTCATACACACTTCCCTTTTTAAATATGCAACAACCTTGGTCTGGTTGTTACTTAATTCTGATTTCTAATTTTTCATTATTTATTTACTTGAGAAGGATAGGTAGATGGAGGTAAATAGGGAGGGAGGGAGAGAGATGGAGAGAGGAGAGAGAGAAAGCGAGAGAGAGCTAGAGAGAGACTTTCAACTGCTCCTGAAATGTCTACAATAGCAAGGACTGGGCCAGGCCAAAGCTGGGAACCAAGAACTTCATCTGAGTTACGGATAAGTTTTAAATATTTGCCATCCTGAAATTCAGTCTCTCCAGTTACATAAACCTCCCTGTCCTCATTCATGAATGGCTGTATCAGTCTGTTTGCTGACCTCCTGCCCATACTGTGCTATGCAGGAATATCCATGTCTTTTCCCTCAAGCACCATTTTGATCTTAAGTCACACCTAAGGTAGAACACTTTCCATCTCCTGTTTTATTAAATTTGAACTGAGGGGCTGGCACTGTGACGTAAGAGGCTAAGCTTCCACCTGTGGTGCTGGCATCCAGTGGACACTGGTTCGTGTCTTGGTTGCCCCACTTCCAATCCAGCTCTCTGCTAGGGCCTGGAAAAGCAGTGGAAGATGGTCCAAATGCTTGGGCCCCTGCAACTGCGTGGGAGATCCAGAAGAAGCTCCTGGCTCTTGCTCCTGGATTTGGATGGGTTCAGCTCCAGCTGTTGCGGCCATTTGAGGAGTGAACAAGGTAGATGGAAGACCTTCTTTCTGACTCTTCCTCTTTCTGACTCTCCCTCTCTTTGTCTGTAGCTCTACCTCTCAAATAAGTAAGTAAAATCTTTATAAAAAAATCTGACCTAAACTCCTCAGGGTAGAGTTGTACTTCTGTATATGTCAGCACAATGAATGCATATATTTGGTCTTCAACAAATGTTGATTGAATGAGTAACTAAAAAAAAAGTGAATAAGATACATCCATATTCCTTGGCCTTGCCACTAATGCCTCCCAGATATGCCAATTTGGGTGAATTTTCATTTCTCATTGTTCCTCCTCCAATTAGCTCTCTCTCAAGGCAAGACAGAGGTCATTCTTCTTCAGCATACTCCTGGATTCACCTATCACCCCTGCATGGACTAGTCCTACTGCTTTCATTCATTATTCTTAGCCTTGTGATCACTTTCTTCTGAACTTTTCTTGATGGTCACCAATGATAGAAAATTCTCTATGATGAACTCCACCTTGTGGCTAAATTTCTGATTATTTTATTTATTTGATAGTAATATAATAACATACACAATAGTTAATGAACCCTTTCTATATGCCATGTGACATCTAAGTATTTAATTTATATTAACTTATTTAATTCCCATGGTTGTTTTTTTTTTAATTGTGTGTTACAGATGAGGAAAGTGAGACACAACCAAAGAGAGGAGATGCCAGCAATAGCTACAGGCTACAGGCAATGTCATATTAACTTTCATTTTGGCTTCATTTTGGTGTCTTGGTTACACTTTGTAGAGGAAATGTAAGTTTTAAGGCAGAGTAGAAAAAAATGAATGAACACACACACACATACACACACATACTCACACATATACATATCAACCCTTGATTTGAATCTTAGATAACTCAGTTAATCATTTACTCTCTTGGATCTTAATTTTGATACCTACAAAATGAGCTAATAGAATCCTACTTTGTGAACCATCACTGAGATAATACAGTAAATATGTAAACTGAGAAAGACTTGAGAAATATAGTGTCATAATTCTATGTTTATATAAATCTGTAGGTAGTACATGTACAAAATAACCAAATGAGACAGTTTTTATGAAACTTATCCATAAATCTTGAATGCATTGTATAAATCATAGATGATAATTCATCATTGGAACAAATGTTGGATCTGTGCTTGTTAAAATAAAACCGTGGGGCAGGTATTTGGCATAGTGAGTATGGCACTGCTTGGGATGCTTGCATCCCATACTAGAGTGCTGGGGTTTCAGTCCAAGTCCATGTTCAAGTCTAGCTTCCTGTTAATATGCATGTTGGGTACTTAAGGTCCTGCCAACACTGTGGGAGACCTGAATCGAATTCCTGACTCTTGGCTTCAGCTTGGCCCCACCCGTGACTATTGTGGTTATCTGGTGACTGTACCAGTGAATCAAAGACACCTCTGTCTCTTATCAATGAAAAAAAATTAATTAATTAACTAAAAGAAGAGTATCCATTCTGTTACTTTAAAAATCATGTTATTATTCCCCAAAATACAGTGTTGACCTGGAGAATAGAATCTCTGATAACATACACTGCCTGAGGAGGAAATGAAAAGGTCTTCGTGAAACAAAGAATTTCTTCTCAGAAAAACAGTCAGGAATATATATTCTTTCACAAGCTTTGCGGACATATCATGATGATAAATAGCTAAAGTAAACAAAGACTTGGAAAGCACCAGGGGATGTATCATAAGATTCAAGAAAAGACACCAGGAGGCTGGCATTGCGGCACAGCAGGTTAAGCTACTACTTGGGCCCCAGCATGCATATCAGAGTGCTGATTTCTAATCCACCTCCCTGCTAATGTGCCTGGGAAAGTAGAGCAACACGGCCCGACTGCTTAGACCCCTGGCCATCTATGTGGGAGCCAAGTAGAGTTCAGGGGCCCTGGCTTCAGCCTGGTCTTGGTCCAATGCCAGCTGTTGTGGGCAGTTGGAGAATGAAGCAACGGATGGACCATCAGTCTCTCTCTCTCTCTCTCACTCTGCCCTTCAAATAAATAAATAAATCCTGAAAACATAAGTAGAAGCACCAGTGCCTTATTATTTCTAGAAATTAAATCCGACATTCCTATAAGGCTCCCATGTTCATCAATCACTCTCAGAAAGGTACAGCAGTTTCATGCTTATAGTCCCTCCTCCTTGAAAACAGATACATTATCAGTGTACTTTCTTAAAGAATCATTAGATGTGCTCATATTCTTAAAATTTTACCTATGAAATACATGAAATCTGTTCTCTTTATAGTAACAAAATTTTTTTTAAAAAGAGAAAATGAAAAAGAATCATTAGAAACATCATTCAGTACTAGAATAATAGTTTAAACATTTTTTCTTCACTTAAAGAATACTGAGCCTCAGTAGTAGTAGAAGACTAGTAGATTCAGTCATCAGTTTATAAAAAGACATATTATACTGGTATAATTTAATGCGAAAAAGGCCATTAACTCCAAGAAGGATTCAGAAATGAGGGAGAAAAGTGAGAATAGACAGATTTGACAAGTCAGTTAAAATGTGTTCTTACCACTTCACAGGTTGGCACAACAAGCTTTTCACAGTTACATTCTAAAAGGCAAAAATCAACATATTTACATTGATCAAAGTACATTAATTTAGGACGATAAAACTTTGAAATGTGAAATTCATTACCACAATGCCACACTGGACAGCATTGACCAGAAACATTTTCTTTCACAAGAGTCATATCTTCTGCACAGTTGAGTAGTGGCGTGGGACAAAGATTTGGTTCACACACTAAAAAGAAAAAGTACATGGTTAATTTTATATAATTGCCCTTTCTCACTACCTGTCATTTAGTAACTGTCATTACTGATGCAGTGTATGGATTAAATCTCCCAAGTGTTGTCTCTCCCACCACCCAGTTTTCATATGTAGGTGAGGACAGAACCAAGGACTCACAGCAGGTAGAACGGAAGTGTTAGTACATCTCATGGAGCAAACCTAACAGAAAGGTCTGATGTAACATGCACAGGGCTTTTTAGACCCTGAGCACATGTAAACACTGTAGATTAGCTAAAATGCACTTACCACAGTAATACTGAGGACAACAGAAGTGTGTGGTGTTAAGATCCACTGTGAGAAATTCTCCATCAGAACATTGTGCAATAGGTTCAACACAAGATTCACAAACTAGTGGTGAAACAAAAAGCCAAAAGTCACAGCTGAGCTAAAAACAAATGAATTATTAGCTCAGACTACTATATACAAATAAAATAAAATATGGTATGTTTAATAAAATAGAAAATAAAAAATAACATTTATCTCTTTATTTGGTCATAAAACATAACACTGCCCAAATATATAAATTGATGTTTTCCAAGAACAGTGATAGAATATCACCTTACCAGAAACATAAGGCATTCAGATTTCTAGTATAAGTTGTTCTTATTTGGATCCAAATACCATTGATTTATTTAAGTGTTCTTAATTTATTACTCTTGATTATTCTAATTTACACTATAACAATGCAATAGGCTCTGGCTCTTGTGACTGTTCAAAGTCCCCTTTGACTATCTATCAAAGTTGACAATAGCTATCAGGATGACCTTGAGGAAATGTCCCCCACATACACACACAGTCTCACAGCCTGGTGATACAGGTGTCTCACTCTCCCTAGGACACTGCTGTGGGATGACTCACTTTAGACTACTTAGACTCTCTTCCCATGGAATTTGAATCATAAATAGGGGGACACCAGGACAAGACCTAGGTGGAGCTGGCTCAGTCCTTCGTGATCTCGACCCAGAGCACCCGGTTTCCTTCCTTCCCAGGGCTACCTTGTTCTGCATTATCTTGATCCCATGTTCCATATCAAAATATCTTTCAATAATTGGTTGTGCTTAAGTTAGACAAAATTGATCAGGTTTTTTGTTTGTTTGTTTGTTTTGTTGCTGTTGTTGTTATTTATTTATTTTGCCTTATGCAGCCAAAGAACTGATTCAAGGAGATGTGTTTTGATTTTCATTGGAACAACTGAAGCCTACATTCATCATCAAATAATCTTTGAAATAATAATCATTTGAAGGGGGAAAATAGTGTATTTGTACAATGCATTAGATAGAATATTTAGCTCCAGCTACATCCCTGTCACTCTTTGTTGCATTCTCTTTCAAGATCATCATAGCTCTCCCACAATATTCAAGAGATGAAGTTTTAAGGAGGGCCTATGATATCTTGATATTATAGTTATCAATTATTCAAAAAATAGTGCTAACTTTTTCTACAAAAATATTTTAGGTACTGGCCTGATTACAGGAAAAAATCTTTGACTTTTGGTCTTGGTTATGTTTGGGAAGATATATTTATGAGGGGACTTTAAAAACGTCATTGAAAAATGGAATTAAAAGATATCATGAATTTTCTACCAGTTTTTAAAAAATATTTATTTATTTATTTATTTGAATGGCAGAGATACATAGAGAAAAGGAGAGAGCAAGAGAGAGCTCTTCCATCTGCTGGTTCACTTCATGAATGGCCACAATGGCCAGGGCTGGGCCAGGCTGAAGCCAGGAGCCAAGAGTTTCTTCCAGGTCTCATATGGGGGTGCAGAGACCCGAGCACTTGTGTCATCATCCACTGCTTTACCAGGCGCATCAGCAGTGATCAGAATCAGAAGTGGAGCAGCCAGGACTCGAACTGGCACCCATATGGGATGCCGGCACCACAGGTAGAGGCTTGACCTTCTATGCCACAGTGCTGGCCCCTTGATCAGTTTTTTGAAGCCAGCTCATATATACAGTTTTTCCTGATACAGGAGAGTACTAATTGTAATAAGTCTAGTCATTTAAATTGTACATTTGTTTTTACAATCCTTACTCAGCTGAATGCTTATGAGGATAACATCAGAATATTGGTAACCATCAGTACCATGAAATTCATCAAATAATGAGATTTTCTTGACATTGTTCCTCTTCTTCCAGGAAATTATCTCTACAATACTCACTACAGAAAGGGTAAAAACAGCAAGGTTCTTCCCTTTGAACTTGAATCATGAATTGATCTTCTCTGCATCCTGGTGTTGAAATATTGGGGCATTTGAAGGGGTCACATTCTGCAGAAATACAAAGAAACATGAAACTTCTAAGAGTGAGATGATAAAATTAATGACATAGTGTTTAATTCTATTTCAATTTAGTGTCGAGAACTTAAAGATCTTCATGTTAGTGGAAATATATAATAAACAGCAACTCCACAATCTTTTGCAATTAAGCTATTACCTTGGAGACACAAAGAAGAATCTATTCCACTATTCTGAATGAGCAATAAACTTCACTTTTTTGTCCCAGATGATTTACTTACCACATTTGTACTGTGGGCAGCATGAAAGAGGGCTGTGTCCTATAATCAATTTTTGACTGTCGGTACATGTTGGAATGGTAGTTTCACACAAAGTCATGTCACACCCTGGAAATAAGAAACAGAAGGGTTAAACATTAGTTAACATAGCTAAAATCTTGTGCTGCTTACTCGAAGTAAGGGCCTGACTATTACTATGTGAGTGCAAGTTTCTATGTGGCAATTACATCCGTTTAGCACAAGAAATAATTTAGATGCAAAAAGCCACAAGCTTTCAGGTTTCTTTTAATGTCTTTCACTCCTGATGGCCAAAGTAAAAGACTTCCAGATCCAAGGTGCTGTGATACGGTGGGTTAAGCCACCACTCGCAATACAGACAGCACATATGAAGTGCCAGTTCATATCCTGGAAGCTCCAGTTCTGATCGAGCTCCCTGCACACGCCCAGGAAAGCAGTGGAAGAAGGCCGCTGGGTCCCCGCTACCCATGTGGGAGATGTTCAGGTCGGATGGAGTTCCAGACTCCTGGCTTCGGCATGGCCTAGCCTGGCACTTGTGGCTATCTGAGAAGTGAACTAGAGGATGGCTCTCTCTCTTCTTGCCTCTCTTTCTCTGGGTAACTCTTCCTTTCAGATAAATGTTTTTTCAAAATTATTTTAAAAAAGAGTTTTGCAGATCCATTCTCTTGTCATATATGGTTGAATACTATGAATTGCTAATAGTCAGAGTTTTGCATATATATTTACAACTCAACAAAACCATAATGATGCAAAGCTTGCTTTGGAAAACAATGACATTTGTAGTAATACTTCATTGCTACTTCAACTCAGTTTTTTATATCAAGCATCATACATGGCTTATTTTTTTCACAAAAGATATCAACATATTTTGTGGAATTAACTGCCTATACACTTCTGCATACTTACCACAAATTTCCTTTGAACAACAAGTCAACTTATCAGTGATCTTCATGACGACTTCAGCTTCTCGTTGACACACTGGTGAGGGCTCCTCATCACAGTCGGGTTCTATGGGAATAATGCTTCCATTCTCCAAACACTTGTACAGGGCGCACTCGTCAACACCCCCATTCCAAATCTCCCCAGCAGTACGGGGTTGGCCCTCACGATCAGTGCATGCTGAAAAAGATGAACAGTTATAACACTCATAACCTGGATACTAACATAAATTAAGCCATGAGGTTTTGACTTCAGGCCACGACAAGGCCCAGCAACACGGATGACACGTCACCAAACCATCCTTGCCCAGATTCCCCTTCCCGCCCTCAGCTTCTAGCTTATGTTTCGATCAATGAAAGTTTTTACGTAGTCCTCTGGAAATAATTTTCTCTTCCACAACTCTGTAAATTTGTGTGTACTATTCTATAAATAAGATAATCTATTAATTTCTTTTTAGATATTTTATGTCTTATTGATCTAATTTATTTAGCTTGAACAAATTTCAGACATATAAATTTAACTTAGATTTAAAATATTAACTGGATTCCAAACTTTTGTATATAGCTTTAAAGAGGCCCTGATGCAGACTCTGTACTGAAAAGGGTAGCTGCAAGAGTTACGGATTCCAGGATCTGGATTCTAAGCCTTGTGGTTGCTTAAAAGCCTCTGTAACAGACACTGTGCTGGACAGGGGAGCTGCAAAGGTGTTCCAAGGAATCAGGGAGTTTTTAACAAAAACTCCAACATTAGAAATTCCTGAGAAAGCCATTCGTAAGAAGATCCTCTTCAGATCAGTTTCAGTTTAAATAAAAGGGACCTCAACAGGTGCTATTGAACACGACTACTTCTGTGAAATTAGGATTAAACTTCTACCTCTTAAGTCTTCACAGTTGAATGCGAAAGACATTCCTGACTGCTCCTATAGCCAATCAGAAACCTTAGCACTGACTTCTTGGAGTAACTAACTACGCAGGGACACAGACCTTGGCAATGACTGAGACTGCTCCAACCCACAAAGCAAATTTGTTAGACAGGATAGACAGAGACTTACAGACCCTGGATAGGCAGGGCCTGCACTACACCCCCCATGAACAGGAAGCAGTTACGAAGAGATGATTTGACAGCCATCAACTCCCCTTAGGATTAAGGGGATGGAGTCTCTGAGGGGGGAATGAGTTAGGCAGGTGTACTCTAGTAGGCCAGGCCTACGAGATGAGCCCCTGGAAAATCCAGATGCCGAATGGTTTACTGATGGCAGCAGCTATCTGAAGGAAGGAGTTAGAAAGGCAGGCTATGCCGCAGTGGATCTTACTCAGACAATAGAAGCCCAAACACTACCACACAATACTTCAGCCCAAAAGGCAGAGTTTATTACATTGACTAGGCCTTTACAACTGGGAAAAGGTTAGCGAGTTAATATATATACAGGTCTGTATATATATTATATATATATATATATATATATAAAGCCCTAGTCAATGCAATACGCAGCAATCTGGAAAGAGAGGGGCTTACTGACTGCAAAGAATTCCCCTGTTAAATATGGAAGAGAGATACTGGCTCTACTTCAGGCAGTACTGGAGCCTTTAGCAGTGGCGGTCATCCACTGCAAGGGACATCAGAAGGGAGATAATTATGTTAACCAGGGAAATGCGTTAGATGGTGGATGGTGGATGCTAAATCATAGAATTATGCTACCAATGGCCACTCAATGGAAAATTATAAAGGAGATACACAACTCTACCCACTTGGGAAGAGATGCCTTAGTACAACTGGTCTCCCGAGCTTTTGGAGGAAAGGGACTAAATACGGTCATAAAGGAAGTGACTCGCTCTTGGCCACTATGTTTATAGAATAACCCTCACCACGTAAGGCCACCTCCCCTGTTGACTCCTGTGCAGAGGAGGGAACATAAACAGGTGAAGATTGGCAGGTTGACTTTACCAATACTCTCCCAACAAGCAATTATAGGTACCTTCTAGTCTTTATTGATACTTTTGCAGGATGGATGGAGGCCTTTCCGACCCGAACACAGAAAGCACTCAAGGTGTTTAAAGCCTTGTTGAAAGACATCGTGCCACGCTTTGGACCCCCATGGTCACTCCAGAGTGACAATGGATCTTCATTTATATCTAAAATAACCCAGCAGAACCTAGCAACTTCTGAGAATAATGATGACACGGAATATGGCAGTGACTGACAGAGCCCCAGCTCGTAAAGCAAACTCATTAAATGAGATAGGCAGAGACTTCCAGACTGAGAACAGGCAGGGTCTGTGCCACTAATAAGCAGGAAGCAGCTACAGAAGATGGTGACTCGACGCCCATCAACATCCCCTTAAGATTAAGGTCTGGAGTCTCTGAGGGGGGAAGGAAGTAGGCAGGCATACAGGCTAAAATTGATCAGATTTGTGAACTGAAAGACCACGCCTTCACCACGCCCCTGTGTGACTTCAAGCCCTACCTGATGCCTTCGCCACACCCCTGTGTGGCCTCATTCCCCTACCTGGCCACACCTGGTGCCCACCAGCCAATCAGGTTAATTAACCACTCCCCTTTGGAAGTGGGTTAAAAGCCGGGACACAGTGTGGCCCAGTAGGCTCTTTTTCCCTGGCCTCTTGTCAGGAGGGGGCTTGCTGTAGCCCCACGCCTCCAGGGCGCATGGCCTTCAGACCATGTGCTCTAGGCTTCCTGGCCCAGATAAAGGCCTAGCTGCTTATCCACGTGGCTGGTTCCTGGTGCTTGGTATGAACCCCTATTCACCTCTCTCTCTTAAAGCTCTCACTCTCCTATGCATCTTTCTCACCAAATAAAAGCTTAAAACGTACCATGCTGCCTCGTTTATCTGTGCCAGTATTTAGAATTTTTCTCTAAATATTAGGCAAGAACCCTCTTGGGCTTATTAATATCGGGGATTTAGTAATAAGCCCGTGATGAAATTGTAAGGCACCCCAAATCCAGTAACACATGTGGCACCCCGGATAGCATTTCTAGGAACTTTAAGGGGTCACATTTTAGTGTAAATTTTAGGGGGTCTTTTCCGACTTCATAAAGAATGAGTAGTATTAGAATACAAAGTACTCCCTACCTCACACTAGCATTTACATCATATTAAAATTTTAAATGTTTCTGCTTTAAAATGTAAAATGGGAAGTAGGCAATCAGGCAAAATAGTATTTAGGGCTCTGTTAGCTTTATATAACAGTTTTATTTTACAATAAATATGGCTCTCGAAGTTCTTTTTTTATTTTATTTTTTTTACAAGCAGAGTGGACAGTGAGAGAGAGAGACAGAGAGATAAAGGTCTTCCTTTACCGTTGGTTCACCCTCCAATGGCCGCTATGGCCAGCGCTGCGCCGATCCGAAGCCAGGAGCCAGGGGCTTCCTCCTGGTCTCCCGGGCGGGTGCAGGGCCCAAGGACTTGGGCCATCCTCCACTGCCTTCCCGGGTCACAGCAGAGAGCTGGACTGGAAGAGGGGCAACCGGGACAGAATCCGGTGCCCCGACCGGGACTAGAACCTGGTGTGCCGGTGCCACAGGCGGAGGATTAGCCTATTGAGCTGCGGCGCTGGCAGCTCTCGAAGTTCTTTTAAGGAATGATCAAGAAAAATGTAGTTCCCAACTAAGTCCTCAACCTCCAATGAACTTCTCTTAAATTATCCTAATTATTAGAAAACCAAACTCATATATTTCCAGACTACAAATATATGCATGCCTGTGTATTCAACATGTCTTATACACACTTTACTCACTGGCAAACACAAGGAATGTTTCCAAAACTATATATTCATTTCACTTGTACTTGTCTTTCCCTTTGATTATAGCAAATTCCCTTTTCTTCTGACCATAATGAGGAGACTTATGACTGTAGAAGTATTCTGGTCCGGTTTTTTCAATGCTGTACTTTTTCCATTTGCCACTATCATGGAGACAACGTGTTAGAATAAAATGGTTTAAAATTGAAAGCAGAAATATTAAATGGTTTCTCCTCAGATAAGAGTATCTGTCATTTCTTGGTATTTGCCCATATTATCAGAGCACTGTGTTAAATACAAAATGACTCGCACTTGCATTGTTTTATAATCCCTACACTAACTTCATAGGATAAGCACTATTATTTTCCCCAATTGACAGAGGCATAACTTCACACTCTTACAGGTAAATGTAAACCACGAATATATCAAACAATTGAATTTCTACTCAGTCAACACTCTACTCTCTTAATTCTATATTTTTCATGTTCTTTCCTGGTTACCATAAGCATCAGTAAACATTAAAATGCATCACCACCAAAGCTTCTAATTTTGTTAACTTCAGTAGAGATCATGTTAAAACCGAACTACAAGCAAACTCATTTCCTTTCCAACAGCCAGGCTATCTTTGATCAGTATTTCTCAGCATGTGTTGTTGTTTGGTGGATTCCTAAAATACCATCTTATACTTTGCTTCTTACCACATTCTTCTTCTGGAATGCACCGACTTGAATCTGGCCTGTGAAGAATTGTTCCATTTTTGCACACACAGTCTTCTCTTAAATGCACACATGAGGAGTGTCCATAGAACCATCTGTTCAGACATGTTCGTGCTTCACAGGGTTGCACACAGGGTTGATATTCCTTTTCCTCTGGGCAACTCAGAGCTATGAGTAACAGAGGACAGAATTTGCTGATGTTAAAAGTCATCTACTTGCATTCTAATAAAAGAAAAACATCCAGTTTTTTTCTGAAAGATTAATTTGCCACATTTTGGTCTCTCCCAATTCCATTTTTCATAAATCAGAAATAAGCCACCAATGGATATTTTGGGCATCTTCCAGGTATCCAGTTAGTATTAGATTTTATGGTGGGAAACAGTTATCTGAGTTATGTCAAACAAACATGACCAATAGGCCAAGTCTGGTTCACATATAGTCAACCATTATAAAATTATTGCACTTTTTAGTGAAAGGGAGTACCACAGTCTTCTCAGAATAAACATGGAAATACATTTTAAATATGTAACAAACCCAAGTGATTAAAAACAGGAATACTGCATGCTTAGGTTTAATCTTTTAGTATCAAAAGAAACCATTATTAATAACCACTTTCTGGATGATATTTCAGAAAATTCTTGATGATTTTCACTGATCTTAAAAAAGTCATCCTGTTAAAAAAATGAATAAACAGCTAGAGGGGCTGTAAATTGGTACAACCTCAGCAGAGAACAACACGATAGTGTCTAGTGAGATTAGAGATGGCATGTGCCCCCAGTGAATCAGCAGTGCTGTTCTTGCTGATAATTACTTCAGGGGGAGGACAGAGGAAACATAAGAGAAGGGCCATCCAAACTTTAAGTGTAACTATTTCATTTCTCATGTTGAGTGATGTAACTGATGTTTATGAAATATTATTTTTTATCCATGTATATTATTCTAACTAAATTATTTTGTGATTAAAAATTTGCAAAGAAGGGGCCGGCACTGTAGTAGGTTAAACCTCTGCCTGTGGTGCTGCCATTCCATATGGCGCCAATTCGAGTTGTTCCACTTCCAAACAAGCTCCCTTCTAATGGCCTGGGAAAACAGAGGAAGATGGCCCAAGTGCTTGGGTCCCTGCACCCATGTGGGAGACCTGGAAGAAGCTCCTGGCTCCTGGTTTTGGATCAGCCCAGCTGTGGCCATTGTGGCCATTTGAGGAGTGAACCAGCAGGTAGAAGACCTCACTCTCTATCTCTTCCTCTCTCTGTCTATAAATCTACCTCTCAAATAATCAATAAATCTTTTAAAAATGCAAACAAAAAGAAATGAGTGAATACATAAACAGAGAGTGTTGTTTTTAAATGGAAAATACTATTAATACTTACAGCAATAATCAGGTGTTCTCCACTCAATACAGATGTCAAACTTATTGCACAATGCTACATAGGCAGAAAGTGCATCACACTCATAGTTCCAAAAATAGGTATAATTGATCCACATCTTTTCACAAAAGTCCTTTGGTGAAACCTAGAGATACATTTTGCCTTGGGATAGGTTATGCTGTTTTTGTTTTGTTTATGTTTCTATGAAGACCCTACGCTCAATTAAGGTTGTCTGGAGAATCAAAGAACAAATTATGATAGTTGCTCTAAGACCTTAGATTTTCAAAAATCTAAATGTCAATTCTGAATTTATATTTTTAAGCATGCATTTTAAACATGATGTTTCCTTCATTAACACACATAAATCATTCTTATAACAATAAAAATATACTGAATGTATTAATATTGACTGTCACATATTTTAAATAATATGGCTTGCTTTAATTAATCAGAGACTTTTTCTACAGAATACATTCTATTTTGATTTGGAGACACATCAGAGAGCTGAATAATTTAATGAGAAATTCAACACTGATTCAATTTTTTTCTTCATTCGGCCATTCAGCAAACACATTCTAGGCATCTACATTCAGATGTTAAATTCTGATATAGATCAAAGTATCAGGTAAAATATTTATTAATTTTGTAACCCATCATTTTTTCATTACATTTTTTCCCTTTTGCTGAATCTCCTTTTTCCAGCCACTTACCTTCACACATTACATCTGCTATAGCCATTAATAGCCTCCTGTTTGTCAAATCTAATGAGTACTGATACTCTAATCTCTCCCCTACTGTTCAGAGGCTTCTGCTCCCGGCACTCCCTGTTTCACTAGATGTTCTCCTTTCCCATCAAAGTCACTGCATGCTGTTGTCTTTGCGCCTACTTGGTCACTGTGTCCCCTTCCTGCCTCTCGTTCTGTCTATAAACCTCATCCTCAACATTCTTGTCTTCTCACAGAAAATGCTCTTCCTAGGCTCACTCACTCCTACAGGTTCCCATCAATGCCTGACGCAGCTTTATTACATGTGAAATAGAGTTAATAAACACATTTGCTACTACCTACAATTGCTGTGAGCATTAAATATACTAATACATGGAAAATGTACAGAACAGATCCTGGCACATCTTGAACTCGTTACTGCTATTCCTAAAACCTCATATGCTGATAGTTCCCCAAAACTGATCTCTCACCGAAACTTTCTCTTCTGAGCTTCCAAATTATACTTTAAGTGTCTTCTGGCTATTTTCACTCTGATGTTCCAATATACCCAAAATGAAAATCTGGACCTTCTCCACTTAACTCAGCATAAAGACATATTCTTATATATTTTTGATATATCCTTTAGCTATCCACTCATGTATGTGAACTTTCATAATTTATGAAGCACCTATGCATAAGGTACTGTGCTGTACATATGGAATATGAAACTAAATCAAACATACCTGATCTCTGCCTACAGATCGCCTACTTTTTTTTTTTAAAGCCCTTTGTGTAGGATCAAGAGAAGCTACCATATAAAAAATGAGGAAGAAGCAAGTATTCCAAGCAGAGAAAGCCCATTGGCAGGGAAAAAATCTTGGAATATTCTAGTTGTAGCAGACAGGAAGCTAGAATGGTCTGAGCTTACTAAGCAAAATAAATAAATAAATAAAATGTGCTTCAAGAGGCAACTAGAGAAGTAGGTGGACCCACATCTTAGAGGACTTTACAAGGCCTGGTAAGTAGTTTGTAATGTACTCTATGTGTAAGAAAGATATTGAAGGATTTTATAAGTAGAGAAAGGACATAACCCTGTTGATATTTTTAAAAGATCGTTCTGCCTGCAATGTGGACATCTGCAAATTAGGTAAAATTAGAAGTGGGAAGGCCAAATTATGACGTTTTGTCTTCAGACCAGGATAAAGATCAGTTATTTAGATGAATATGTTGGCATTGGTGACTGGAAGAAAAGTGTGGCTATTCAACATATATTTAGTAGAATCAGCATGACTTGGTGATGGTTAGAATGGGACAGATCAAGAATTAAGAAGGCTCCACCAGGGGCTGGAATTGTGGCATAGCCAGTTGGGTCACCACCTGTGATGCCGGCTTCCCACATGGGTGCTAGTTCGTTTCCTGGCGGCTCTGCTCCCAATCCAGCTTCCTACTAATGGCCTGGAAAAAGAAGCAGAAGATGGCCCAAGTACTTGGCCCCTTGCCACCCATGTGGAGACCAGGGGAGTGAACCAGTGGATAGTAGATACCCATCTCTGTCTGCCTCTCTCTCTCTCTCTCTAACTCTTTCAAAACAAATAAATATTTTTTTTTAAAAAAGGAAGGTACTGGGGTGAACACTGGTGTAGCAGGTGGAGCTGCTGCCTGCAGCACCGGCAACCCATACGGGCTCTGTTTCAAGTCCCAGCTGCTCCACTTCTGATCCAGCTCTCTATTATGGCCTGGAAAAGCAGTGGAAGATGGCCCAACTCCTTGGGCTCCTGAACCCACATGGGAAACCTGGAAGAAGCTCCTGGCTCCTGGCTTTGGATCGGCCCAGCACCAGCCATTGCAGTCATCTGGGGAGTGAACCAATGAATAGAAGATTCCTCTCTCTCTCTCTCTCTCTCTCTATCTATCTCTCTCTGCCTTTCCTTCTCTCTCTGTGTAACTCTGACTTTCAAATAAACAAATAGGACAGCGCTGTGGCTCACTTGGCTAATCCTCCGCCTGCAGCACCAGCACCCCAGGTTCTAGTCCTGGTTGGGGCACCAGATTCTGTCCCGGTTGTTCTTCTTCCAGTCCAGCTCTCTGCTGTGTCCCGGGAAGGCAGTGGAGGATGGCCCAAGTGCATGGGCTCTGCACCCGCATGGGAGACCAGGAGGAAGCCCCTGGCTCCTGGCTTCGGATCGGCACAGCGCCGGCCATAGCGGCCATTATGGGAATGAGCCAATGGAAGGAAGACCTTTCTCTCTGTCTCTCTCTCTCTCACTGTCTAACTCTGCCTGTCAAAAAATAAATAAATAAATAAATAAATCTTTTTTTTTAAATGAAGGTATCAAGAATTTATTGATCTTGATACATGTTCAATCTAAGTTAGAAAGTTGAAGCTATACACTTTCACTCACCCCTAACACTGACATCTCATCAGTCCTTAAATCCTGCCCATTCCAAGATCCAGTGTCTCCCATATTCATCCCTGGCTTTCTGGACACATAGCTATCCTCACTTGTTTTCCCTTGACCAACACATGTTAATATTTTCTCAAGGCAATATGCTTTAAATTAATTAATTAGGCTTCTGGGTGAGGGCAGGAGTAAATAGTTTAAAAAACGAGTCCGGTTTGTTAATGATTGTTGACTCTAGATGATAGATACATAGAGATCCTTATACTATTCTCTTCACCTTTGTGAATATGTAAACATTGCCATAACAAGTTAACACAAAAAATTAACAATCAGGTTCTCTACCAAACCTGCCTAGTTCATCCTCTTCATGCTCTTATATAGATCTACTAAGCACCTCGTATGTCCCTCCCATTTTTACTTAACTTTTTTTCTTACAATAGGACCCCCACCAAAGTAACTTTTAGAAGCAGAAGGTAGAAGAAGGGAAAATTTATCTCTAGGTTGATTAGATTTCATTCCAAAGAAATCACTATCACTCATAATCTCTTGATTTCAAGTATTTTTTGAAGTCATGATAATTTACATTCTGGTTTTTAATACTATTTACCTTTTATTTTTATTTATTTATTTATATTTTTTGACAGGCAGAGTGAACAGTGAGAGAGAGACAGAGAGAAAGGTCTTCCTTTTTGCCTTTGGTCCACACTCCAATGGCCGCCGCAGCTGGTGCACTGCGCTGATCCGAAGCCAGGAACCAGGTGCTTCTCCTGGTCTCCCGGGCGGGTGCAGGGCCCAAGCACTTGGGCCATCCTCCACTGCACTGCTGGGCCACAGCAGAGAGCTGGCCTGGAATAGGGGCAACCGGGACAGAATCTGGCGCCCCGACCGGGACTTGAACCCAATGTGCCGGCACCGCAGGCAGAGGATTAGCCTAGTGAGCCGCGGTGCTGGCCACTATTTACCTTTTAAATACCATAATGGTTTACTGTGTAAGAAACGTATAGAAAAATATATCCTACCTTTCTCATTGACTAATGAGCAACTTGCTATTGAAGTCAGTCCATAAGCAACCACTTAAAAGATTTGTTGTGAATTGAGATTGGGTGACAAATAGCAAGCTCAGAGTGAATTGAGTTAGGGTGCTAAATATCAAGTTCATCACAAAGATACTTTTTCCTTGTTGGCCTTGCAATATGCAAGAACTTACATACTTGTCAATATGTGCATAAAAACACCCTTTCCCCCTATTGTATATACTGTGCCAGAATAATCCCTTGAATCATGATGACCAGAATGCAGCTAAAGAGGTTGTCTGACACACTGACTGACTGAACTTTTCTTTAAATATTTATTTATTTGAAAGGCAGAGTGAGAGAGACAGGGAAAGGCAATTTGTATCTGCTGGTTCACTCTCCAGATGGTTGTAAGGGTCAGTGCTGGGCCAGGCTGATGTCGGGGACCAGAAACTCCATCTGGATCTCCTACATCAGAGGCAGGAGCTGATAGATTTGAGCCCTCATTTGCTGTTTCCTAGGTGCAATAGCAAGGAGCTAAATTGGAAGCAGAGTAGCTGGGACTCAAACTGGGACTCTGATTTGGGATAGGGGCATACTAAATGGCCTTAAGCAGATGCACCAAAACCACTGCCCGGCCAACTGACTTCCGACAATTACCAAGAACACACAATGGAGGAATAAGAGTCTCCCATGAATGATAGTGGGAAGATTGCATTTCTAGATGCATAAGAATGAACATGGACTCTTTTCACTAAAAGAAAATCAACTCAAAAATGGATTAAAGACTTAAATGAAGGCCTGAAACTATAAAACTACTAGAAGAAAACATTAAAAAAAAAAAGAAAGAAAACATAAGAGAAAAAGACCATGATAGTGGTCTGGACAATGATTTATTGGATATGGCCCCAAAACCACAGAAATAAAGGCAAAAATACTCATAAATACTTTAAATATGATTTCATTAAAACAACAAGGGAAACAATCAACAGAGTAAAGAGACAACACGCAGATTTGGAGAAAATATTTGTGAAACATATATAATAAGGGACTAATATCTAAAATATACACAAAACTCAGACTACTCACAACAAGAAAGTAAATAAAATCATTTAAATTTGTACAAAAGACCTAATAGATACTTCTCCATATATACACAATGGCCAAGAAATTATATGAAAGAAAATGATGAACATCTCTTATCTTCAGAGAAATTCAAGTTAAAGATATAATGAAATATCACCTTACTGTTGGATTATTTATTATAAAAAGACGAAAGATATTAATAGTAGGTTAGGATATGGAGAAAGAGAAACTCTTCAACACTGCTACTGGTATTGTAAATTAATACAAACCATTTGGAAAACAGCACGGGGTTTTCTAAAAAGAGAGAGGGAGAGAAAGGAAACAAAACCTAAAAATGGAATTACTGTAAGTTTCTACAATTTCAAAGTAACAGATATCAATATGTTAAAGAAATGGGCTCAGCACTGTGGAGTGGTGAGTAAACCCATTGCCAGCAATGTTGGCATCCCATATGGGCACCTGCTGGTGTCCTGTCTGCTCCCCTTCTGATTCCGCTCCCTGCTAATGGCCTGGGAAAAGCAGTGGGAAATGATCCAAGTGCTTGGGCCCATGATACCCACGTGGGATACCTGGAAGAGGCTCCAGGCTTCATCCTGGCCCAGCTCTGTCTGTTGCAGCCATCTGGGGAGTGATCCAACAGATGGAAGATCTTTCTCTCTATCTCTCCCTTTCTGTAGCTTTTTTAAATAAATAAATAAAGCTTTTTTTAAAAAAAAAGTGTCTGCACTCCCACGTATATTGGGACAGTGTTAACCATAGTCAAGATATGGAAACAGTGGAAGTGTCCATCAATAGAGAATTGGGCTTTCAGAGTTACATATGTATGCAGCAGAATACTGTTCAGCCTTTACAAAGCACTGAAGTCTCTCATATGTGACAATATGAATGAAACAAAAGAAATTAAGCTAAGTGAAATAAGCTAGGCATGAAGAGACAAACAATGAATATTTGTGAAAGTCATAGAAGAATATGGTAAAATGGTGGTTAGTAGAGGCTGGGGTGGAGGTAGGGAAAACAGATACATTGTTCAAAGAGTACAAAGTTTCAGTCAAATGGATGGAATAAGTTCTGGTGGCCTACAAGGGACCTTCAAAACATTCATGAAAAACACATATAAGTAAAACTAAATAAGTATGGGCTTCAAAAAACTTCACATCAAAATTCAGGTCTGAACAGGATGTAGGCTGAGGTACGGAAAAAGCTAAGGCATCAGCTTGAAAAGAGCCTGTATCAGAGCAACTTGAGTTCTGGCAAAATCAAACAAATATCAACCTTACTGTAAAGGTTGGGTACAAGAATGGAGTCATTGGTGCTATACAGAAAGTTTACAGGGACAATGTCCCAAAGGAATCAACAGTTTACAAGAGGATAATTCTTTTTTTTTTTTTTTTTTTTTTTTGACAGGCAGAGTGGACAGTGAGAGAGACAGAGAGAAAGGTCTTCCTTTGCCATTGGTTCACCCTCCAATGGCCGCCGCGGCCGGCGCACCGCGCTGATCCGATGGCAGGAGCCAGGTACTTATCCTGGTCTCCCATGGGGTGCAGGGCCCAAGGAGTTGGGCCATCCTCCACTGCACTCCCTGGCCACAGCAGAGAGCTGGCCTGGAAGAGGGGCAACCAGGACAGAATCTGGTGCCCCGACCGGGACTAGAACCCGGTGTGCCGGCGCTGCAAGGTGGAGGATTAGCCTAGTGAGCCGCGGCACCGGCTGGATAATTCATTTTAAGAAGAGATGAGACAATCATTCACTGGTTCTACTCTCTAAATGGCCACAACATCCAGGGCTGTACCAGGCCAGACCCAAGACCCAGGAACTCCATCCTTGTTTCCCATACGGGTGGCAGGGGCCATATAGTTGAGTCACGTTCAGCTGCCTTCCAGGTGCATTAGCATCGAGCTGGATGGGAAATGAAGCAGCCAGGACTCAAGCTGGCAACAGTTGGCTGCCAGTGTCTCATGCAGCAGCTTAATTCACTGCCTACAACACTAATCCCATGGTATTATTAAGGAATAATACCAGCCATGGGATTAGTTAAGGAATAAAGTTTGTATATTTTATTTTTATCTTTTCATTACATTTTTCAAAAAACTTCTTGAGTCCCCTCATACGGGACAGCATAGTGCCTATAGTTAGCAATACTATATTGCATGTTTTTAAAATTCTAAAAGACAGGCTTTTAAATGTTCTCATCACAACAAAACATGATACATATTCCAGCTGATGGATATGTTAATTACCCTGATTTGATCATTCCAAACATAAACATGTAACAATCATTACATTGTACCCCATACACTTAATGATTATTTGTCAAGTGAAAATAAATAAAACATAAAAATTACTTCAAAAAATCTTTAAGCCATGATAAGAATCCTCACAAGTTTTAAAATTGGTTTATTTTACTACCTCAAGGAAACAGTGTATAAAAGCTCTGAGTACTTAGAAATCTAAACAAATAGTAGTTCTAAAATTTACTTATTCTTATCTTGTTCTCAAACTTTATTTTCACTGTAGTATTTTTAAATGCTCAGTCTTGCAAAACAAAACACCTGATAAATTACTCAGTTTTGTTGAGTTATCCTTTACTATGACAGATAAATAATCCATTTTTACTGTATTGGTTCTGATTATTATCATCTTTTTCCATGAGGGAAAAGTATATTTTCAACCCTGATTGTAAAAACATTGTAGCCAGTACCTTCCAGAATTAAATTGATTTATATTTATGTAGCAGATCAAGTAATCAAACTGACTTTTTGTTTGATAACAAATTTGACTATAGAGTTACTAGTCTTTTAGATACTAGACAGTTTAGCTATTTGTGCTTGAGTCTAAATCAAAATATGTATATTTATGTATATCTATGGCCTTGGGCTCCACTTTTTCTTTCTTTTGTCATCAAATTCACCAGAGTATCTTCAGGGGAAGAGAGGTTTATCACAGACTACACAGTATGCTATGGTGGCTCAGCATGTCTTGAACAGTCAACTTAAAATAATCAATCTTACATGTTTCTGCTTAAAGATATAATTTTCCAGAATCATGATGTTTTGAAAAGCAGATTAAAGTGACAGCAAAATGCATTAAAAAGTATTTGCTATTTTTTTCATTTTTATGTGCATACATTGAAAATTTGCAAACACTTAAAATTTGTTGTTAGCTAAATCCCCATGTAAACTGAAGCTCAAGAAAGATATGCCTTTTTGATCCCACAACTTCAAACTGCATTTTCCCTCAAGGAACCCAGAGGGAGGGCAAGGATGGACTCCACACTTCCCTGCCTAGCACAGGTCATCCTCAATGCGCACCCTTCCTGACTTGACAATTCCCTTGCTCTTCTTTCTTTTCCTCTCCAAAAATCTTGCACTAAACTGTTTCAACATTTTCCTTGTAAGGCCTTTTATGCCAAATACTGTCTTGTATATATCGTTATATCTGTATAGATCTTTCTTCTTCTCGCTACTTTCCTGGAAAATTCATCCTTCTAAACCATTCAAAGGTCTCAATCTCCATGCAGTCTTCACAAAGCCTAGGATTCCAGGCACCTCCACATCGCATACTGTACCAGATCTGTCCACAGCTTGCCTTCCTTCCAGACTCCCGGGGAGTGGAGCTGCAGGCTCTTATTTCTGTCTCACATTGCTTGGTGTGCACTAGGTACTCAGCAATGTTCAGTTAACTGATTCATGAAATGCAGTATTTGTGTGTCCTTTAACATTTCATTTTTTAGTGACATAGATTATTTAAAATATCTATTCATCACTTAAACTTATAAAGTTAGGAACTAACAAAGACCAATTAAATTGAATATATGTGGCAGATTCTATTACAAGTATACACCTAGGAGGCCAGGATCTTAAAGAATTGACAAAAGCCTCATGGTCTTAATTTTTATTCCAGGTTATCAAGCAACAGTGATCTCTTTTTCCTAGAGGCATTTATTCATAGAACATAATTTCATATTTTTGAAAGCCTTAGATGTAGTTCTAACAAAACACAGAGGAGAAAGTTAATTATCTTTCCTGTCTCTGTAAGTCTGAAAACAGTAAGTGATTCCGAACTCCAAAGCACAATGACAGAAGGCTTGGAGATAAACTATTCTCAGTAGAAGAACATCATAGCAAAAAACAGGAATGTATTGGCTTTTACCCTCAATATGTCTAACAGGACAGTTCTTATTTATGGCTGCTTTTGACTTACTTTATCATGGCATGGAATGAAAACTCTTCTATTTAATAAATCAATGCAGTGACTGCAATTATACTCAGTACAATTCCTAAAAGGTCTCCTTGTTGTCACTTCAAATGATTTCTCAATTTCCCAGCTCTCAATAAATAATGCTATATCTTCCATGTTCGTAATGATTGTGCCATTTTGCATCCTTATATCATCATCTGGATCATCATTGCAAATTCCTTGAAAGAACAGATGACATTTAGAAAGAAAATGTTCTCACACCAAACTTAGGCAGAACAACTTGATCAGGTTAACCATTGATTTAAACTTAATAAATTATTTACTAAATAAAGTACAAAATATGACTTTACCCTTAATAGAATTCTTCAGATTATATCTTAATCTTTGATAAAATTATACAGAACTGCCTTTTCCAGATAAGAAAGAAACTGTGGACTTAGAAGTCCAGATATGTGAGGAGATCATAAAAGTTAAGAAGTGACTGATTCTGCTCCTATTCTCTTCCAACATTACCATTATCTCCTAACTTAAGAACTAGCTTTGAAATCTGTAAGGTAATGCCTGGATAGAAGACATTCGGTGATTGACTCCCAGGCTTCCACTCTCCCAGGAAATCTCCTCCTGAAAACATTAAATTCTTCCTTCCAGGACCTATCCTATCCCATCACTTAGTTTGCATAAAGCTAATTCTTAACCCTCTTGTCCTCAGCAACTGTTGCAGGGAATTCAAGGGATGAACCAGCTTGTTCATAGCAGTCACCTAGATACATGGACTCATCCAACATCAGGACAATCATGGCAAGATCGGAACTTGACCTGAGAATTCTGAGACACGTACAATCTCTCTTCATTGGAATGACAGTCTGTTAGTGGTTATGCCACCTTGATTTGCTACAGCCTCCAGCTTCCCCAAAGAAGGGCAGCCTGAGGATGAGCTTACTCTCCATTCAGTGGAATGTAGGACCAACGGAGTACGTAGAAATGTATCTAGAGCCCTGATCATCACTTACCCAAAACCACCCTACCTTAAGATTATTTTTTCTTAATTCCCAAGATTAGATTTACATTATTTGAATGAAACATTCTCTGGAAGTATAAAATCTGAATAATCAAGCAAATATATCAGGTTGCTATTGCAAATGCCACACCCCTGCATATATACAAGGTACTGAGCACTAATTTTTTAAAATTAGGTTAAATTAATTATACCAAAAAGCCCTACTTTTCCTTTAACCTCAAAACTTTTATAGAAAGGCAACTGCTGGTAAAAACACGTTTTCACTGCAACTCCAGATACTAATGCTTCTGACTTCACAGTGCTATGCAAAATGAGATCTCAAGATAGGCCTTCAATTCTGGTGTCCTTGCTCAGTTTGGATCACACTGTTGTTTACTACAACCTTTTCAGCCAGCAGCCAGTTTAGTGGTCCCAATAGCACCCAGTTGTCCTTTTCACTAACCACCCTTCCCCTACTGTGGAGGTCCTGGAGCACAGAGAGTGACCCTTGGTTAGCCAAAAGGTGATTCCAGCCCTTTCTCTACAGTGCTTGGTTAAAAATCAGTTAGCAGAGTGTCTATACTCTACATGAAGCCAAGATCTGACAGCAGAGGAGGAGAAAAAAATAGGAAAATCATAGGAAAAAATATGCAGTCCCAAAGTTTATGAATTATTACTCAATAATAACTATTGATTATATATATTCTCAATAATGTACATATTCAACTACAAGTAGTTCCATAATGAAACCTTATGTCACCTTGAAATTTGTGCTATGTTTAGCATACTATAAATTGGCAAGGAAATATGCAAACCATTTTAAAAAAACTTTAGACTAGATGTTTGTATTTTTAAAGAAGAAATTTGAGTATTTCATGTAAATTTGTTGAGGACAAGTACATAGTCATTTTTGAGTTGTCAGCCTCAAGAATAGTATAAGACACTCATGAGGGATCCATAAACTTTTACTTAATATTTGCTGAGTTTAAAATAGACACAATTGTTCTAGAATAACATTTGCTCACTGTGTATATTAAACAATGTGGTAAGTGGTATACACTAACTTTTGCATCTAGTTTTGGCAAAAATCTTTTTTTAAACTTTTTAACTGATATATAATAATTGTATATATATGACATACAATGCAATGTTTATTTTAATACCTGTATTCAGCACATAAGGATCTTGAAACTAGGTATTACTACACACATTTTAAAGATAAGGAAACATGCTCTCTTAAGAAAACAAAAGTGAGAAGGGGATAGCTGGTATCCAACTGTCCAAATACGAGCCAGTATTCTTTTTTATTTTATTATAAAGATGTTCCCTATTTGTTTCCTTTGACTTATAACTATTTATGTATCATATAACATATTGAAACAGTAGGTATATTGGTACACTTCAACCATATACTTCATAATAAAATTGGGACAAATATTTAGAACATTGTGTTTCTTCAAAATGACTTAATTTTCCTTAATTTTAATTTTTTAAAATACTAAGGAAGAAACAAGTCTTCCACTTGGCTATTCCCCATTCATATCATTTATAAACTGAGGTAATCCTAGTACATGTTTATTAGGGCTTGTTAGAAGTAAGAGAGTTAAAATATGTAAAAGAGTATCTGCCACTTGATTAATGCTTAATAAAAGTGAGCTGGCTTAAATATAAATCCTGTCATAGTAACAATGGTAAGCATACATTTCCATAAAATACCCAAACTGAACTGTTTTTTTCTGGCTTCTCAGCCCATTTATTGAAAACCATTACTTTCTTCATTTTTTACATAAGGAATGTTAACAACACATCTCAATTCTAAAAGTGGGGTAACAGAATCCAAAATGATGTAATGTGAACAGGGAAACATGTTAGAAGAAACCAAGATTTTAAGAACAATGCTCACCACAAAGTCCTTCTGTGTAGGATGACAAATTAAATCGGAAACCAAAATGAATGTCTAGGATTCCTGTAAGATGAGCCCACTTTATGACCAGTCCAGCTGGAGTAGTAATAACGTACATTGTACCAGAATCCTCTATAGACAGATCATGATTTGAAAATGGCAAAGGTACAGCAATAGTATCTACTTCTACCTAAATAATCAAAATATAAAAGGAAAATGATTATTTAAATATATACTCATTAAAATGAGCATATATATTCTTCTATTTTGTTTTGCTTTAATAAAACTTTTTAATTTTTAAGATTCATTTATTTATTTGAAAGGCAGACTGAACAAAGGTGAGACAGAGACACAGGGAGAGGGAGGAAGGTAGGAATGAAGGAAGGTAAGAAGGATGGATGGATTGGATGGATAGATGGAAGGAAGGAAGGAAGAAAGGGAGGGAGGGGAATCCCTTCCACTGGTTCACTTTTCAAATGCATTCAACAGCCAGGAACTCAATGTAGGTTTCCTGCCAAGGTGGCAGAGACTTAAGTGCTTGACTCATTCATCCAGGAGCACTTGCTGCCTCCTAGGATATGCCTTGGCAGGAATTAGGAGTGAAATCAGGGCTTGAGTTCAGACAATCTGTATGGGGATAAACACTCATGTTGATTTTAACAATAATTAGCTGTTAGCTGGATACATGACCAGACAATGGCCAGTGATAAATTAATCTGAGGCCAAAACAAAGTTCTTCTGCCCCAATTCTCAAAATAATCTCACTGACCAGGTTTGAGTTTGTTTCCCACTCACCTCATCAAAATCAAAGGTGCATAAAACACTATCATCCAAAAAATAACTCACTCACATATTTAAAGTTTTACATAATTAAAATGTTTTAATACCTTATTATATTTTAGGCTTATTTTATTATTATTATTTCCATTGACTTAGCTAGCAGGTGGAATTATTTTCAGAAAGTACATAAAATCTCAGCCACTTTAAACAAAAGCTTTACACTTTCTTTTCTTATATTTTAAAGAGAACCCTCTGGATTTGAGTGAAGCATCTAGCTCATAAAAATACTTTTATTTTGTGAACATATATTTCTTGGGATTAGGGTTTTTCCTGGAAAACCAAATGGCTTCTTTCAAATTTTTTTACAATGAATTATTCTTCTTCAGTTTGTCTAAATGAAGCTAAATATTCCTTCATTTTTTTTCTCATTTTAGCTGTCACATTCACTGAAAAGTTAATGGTGTCAACACACCTAAACCAGTCCTTCCCCCTGATCTTCTCTTACTGGTCTTTTCTTCGTATTCTTGGCTATTACTGTTTTCAATATTATGATCTCTTTTCTTTGTATCATTTCCACTTAATCTGATTTGAAATAAGAATATTAATTCTAGTAGGACAAATCTTGGCCACTCTCATTATCACTCAGCATCATGTTTAATACGGCCTTGGCAGTGAGTCTCTCAGGGAGGAATGTTCACAACATTGGGCGCATTATGAGGGGAAAATCACAATTTTAAGATACATGGGCAAGCATCTGGCCTAACGGCTATGCGTCTAGATGGGATACCTACTTCCTACATTGGGATGCCGGGGTTTCAGTCCTGGTTCTACTCCTAATGCCAGTTTCCTGTTAGCATGTACCAAGGGAGGCGAACGGTGATGCCTCAAGTACCTGTGTCCCTGTCACTCATGTGAGAGACCTGCACTGAGTTCCACAGTCCTGGGTTTGGCTTGGCCCAGCCCTGACTGTTAAATGGGAGTATTTCTCTCTCTCTCCCTCTCCTCTCTCCTCTCTCCCCATTCTACTGCTGTCATTCAAATAAGTTTAAAAAATAAAGAATGATCAGGCATAAGAACAGTGAAACTCTACTGATCTCTTAAACTTTCCCCTTTTGTAAATAATTGTTTTTATAATTTCTTGTTTTCTTCTAACATGAGAATAATTATTAACTGCATTCTTACCATTCTTGCTATCCGATTGACAAGTATTTTATGTATAGATGTTGTCACATTTAACTTTTTAAAACAAAGTCCAGAGATTCTTACAGTGGAAGCCTTAATTAAAAAAAATAAAATTTTATGGAGTTAAGCATAATTTTAGTGTTAAACAGAATAAATTTACTAAACGCTTTGCAAATACTCACTAGCTTTTTAAATGAGTTTCCATTCTGAAAAAAAAAAAAGAGTAAAGAAAGATACTTTTGAAACAAATTCATCAATTGATTTTTTGGAGTAATATGTCTTTTTATTTGCACTTTTATTTTTACCTAAACTCAGAATCCTGTGAAGTATTCCCATTCACCCTTCACCCATGATCTCTAAATGTTAACATTTCATCATTCCCATTTGTTTCATCTTTCCCAATGTATAGTCTTGAGCTTTTCCTTACTCTCTCAGAGTTGTATCCAGATATGATGTCTCTCTGCCATAAATGTTTCAATGTACATTTTCAAAAATAAAGACATTTTCTTACATAACTGGATACAACTATCAAAAGCAGGAAATTAATGTTGATATTAAACTCTTATTTACAGAATTTGTTCAGATTTTGCTAGTTATTCCATTGATATCCCTGTTCATATAGTACACTCAGTTGTCATGGCTTCTCAGTCTCCTAACCCTGGAACAGTTTCTTAGTCTCTATTTGTCTATTAAGACATGGAAGTTTTTGGAGAGGACAGATCAGTTTTTTGTTGAATATCCCTGATTTGAGCTTGACGTTTCTTCATGATTAGAAACAGGTTCTAAATTTTTGGCAGAGACACCACAGCAGTGATGTGGCGTTCTTCCCAGTAACTCGCAGCAGGAGGAATATGGTCATGTGAAGTATTCTGGAGGTACACTACATATCAGATCCGTCTTGATGAATTCTTGACCCCCTTCCTGTTCTGAGAATCCCTGATGCTGTAGCATTCATCAACTATAGATTAATGAAGAAGTGGCTACAACAACGAATTTTGACCTACCTGATTCATGGAACATTTTTCAATATGAGCAACTATAATTTCCCCAGGAATTCTCACTAGGATGTAAGAAGCCATGCTATATAATGCTGCATTGTTCCCATCGAATGTGATAATGCTCAGTTCTGACAACATGGAACATCGACCTAAAATGAAACGAAAGAGATTCTCTTTGACCCATTTAGCTAAATATTTATGCTTTTGAAAGATCTCTTAAGTGAGCCTTATCGTGTTTGACAAGAAACCACTCTAAAATTTACATACTTTAACCAAAACTGTAAGTAAATGAGAAAAGCTCAAAAAATAATAACTTGGAGTTGATGAAGTGGTATGTTTCACAAAATAACAACCTCCTAGGATTAAAAAACTGATCACAATGATAAACCTGCAAACCTACAAGGGCATTCCCACTCGGGGCAGCAGATATCACTGTTCACTTGAACAGGCCTTCCTCGGAAACCACAGTCAGGCATCTCCAAGTCCTTTGGGCAATTAAGAGACCAGTTGTAAAACGTCCATTCCATATTAAGGCATATGTATTGGCTGCAATTATAAACTGGATCAAACTGCAGAGGCTGTTAATAAAAAAGAAAGAAAATTAGTGAGTTTTTTCCCATTATTAGCCTATTCCAAGTGATTTTTTTTAAATTTCATATTCACAATGGTTATAGTACATATTCCTAACTACAAGAACTTTAAAAAGATAAAGAATGAAAATTTCACTACCACTTTTTGATGTATCCTCTCTATAATATTCAATATGTATTTCATTTAAACTTTAGTTTTATTTTGATTTAAGAATTTTTCACATATACTCAAGCATCTGAACAAAATCAAGTCTTCTCCTTAATTCTCTGGATTAGTGTTCTGTAAACAGATTTTTACAATGGCAACTAATCTTTCATATTATGTTGTATAAAGTTACTAAATAAAAATAACTCCTGTAAGTATCAGCTTAAAAACTTACAACTTAATAAAGTCAAATATCAAAAATCTATATTTGACATCAGTTTGACAGGGCCTTTTATATGTCCTCCTAAGTTAATTTTTATATCTAAGTATAGTTCAAAACTTTTAAACAAATAAATGATTCATTTTTCAGTATAAATCATATTATATTTAAATTATGGTAATAAAAAAAGACATTGTTTAGCCCATTTTGTGCCCACAACAACCTTTCGAGGTTGGTGCTGGATTTTTCCTATTTTACAGATGAAGATATCAAGAAGGAGGTTAAAGTAACTTCCCGGGCTCTTAGCACTAGTAGATAGTTCACCAGGGAACTCTACATTGTTAAATACAAAGACCAATTCTCAAACTTCATCTTACATGACCTGTTAACATTTTTGGTACAACGTATCACTCCATCTTACTTAAGACACTTTCTTACTTTGGATTCCAGTTCACTGACAACCTCCCATATTTTCTCCTGTTTCACGGTTGATATCCTTTACATGTTTGTCTTCTCCCGACCTACAAAATCTATAGTAATTTTCCTCTCTACTCTTCATTGACTTTGTCTGAAATCTCATCTAGTCTCATAACTTTAAATATGATTTATACTCTAAGAATCTTCAAAATTTTTATGTTAGCTTAAACTCTCTTACACTACATTTATGTCTACCTCATCTTTATATCCACAGCTTTTTTGATATTTCTTTGAAATCTCAAACTTCATGTGGCAAAACTGAAGTGCTGATTATACCTAAACTAGACCTTCCCTTCCCATGATCTCCCCATTCTGATTAAAACCAGTCCTTCAGTCATTCAAAGCAAAAATGCTTGAATCCTTGTTACATCTCTATCATCACACCCCAGAACTAATCCTTCAGCAAATCTATGGCCTCTACTTTCAACTATGTCCAGAACCCAGGCAAATCTTACCATAGGCACTGTTACCATCTGATACAAGCCATGGTTATCTCTTGCTTAAATTCCCAGAATAACTTTCCAATAAGTTCTAATTGTTTTGTCTCCTCAAACCCTACTCTCAACACAGCAACCAAAATGATCTAAAACAAATCAAATCATTCAGTTCCTCAGCTCAAAAATATGTAAGTCTTCCTCTTTAATAAAAAAAAAAAAAGGTGGGGCTGGAGCTGTGGCATAGTGGGTAAGGCCGCCAGCTGCAGTGCTGGCATCCCATATGGGTGCCCCTTCAAGTCCTGGCTGCTCCACTTCCAATCCAGCACTCTGATATGGCCAGGAGAAGCAGTAGAAGATGGCCCAAGTTCTTGGGCTCCTGCACCTGTGTGGGAGACCCAGAAGAAGTTCCTGGCTCCTGGCTTTGGATCAGTGCAGTTACAGCTGTTGAGGTTTTCTGGGCAGTGAACCAGCAGATGGAAGACTTTCTCTCTCTCTCTCTCTCTCTCTCTCTCTGCCTCTGCCTTTTACGTCTACAACACCTTATACAGTTTATATTACTTCCTACTGCCTTGTCCCTTCTTTTTTGAAAGATTTGTTTACTTATTTATTTATTAAATGGGAAATGACAAAGAGAGAGGAAGGAAGGAGAGAGGGAGGCAGCAAGAAAGGGAGAGAAGGAAGGAGGGAGAGAGGGAGGAAGAAAAATACAGAGATCTTCTACCCTCCCAGTTTACTCCCCAAATGTCTACAACAGCCAGGAGCCAGGAACTCCATCCAGGTCTCCCAGATGTGTAGCAGGAGCACAAATACTTGGACCATCAGCTGCTACCTTCCATGTATATTAGCAGAATGCTGGATAGGAAGCAGAGTAGATGGAGATTCGAACCAGGCATTCCAATATGGGATCTTCCTTTACTTAACTGTCTTCTTGTTACTCTTTTACTCAGTTAACTGGTTCAGTATGTTCTTGTTTCAGAGTCTTTACTCTTTCTGGTACTTCTGCCTGAAAATGTGTTGCCCTGGTCCTCTGCATTGTTCGCTCTTGCAATTTCTTCAGCTCTTTTCCTCTAAAGTCATATGATCAATAAATATTTTCTGAACATTTTTCTGAAAATTATTTTTCTCTTGAGTAACATTTTCCATAATTTAGCAATTTATTTTGCTTATTGGCTATTTCAGAAACTCCAATAGAATATAGAGCTTCATAGCATGAATTTTCTCCTGCTACTGTGCTTTTTCCTATGGCATCTTAGCAGTGCCTGGCCATAAATGGAATGAAATAAATATTGGTCAAATAAATAAATAGTTTATTGGAACAAGTAGCATTTATTTAAAGCTTTACTGGGGCCGGCACTGCAGTATAGCAGGTAAAGCCACTGCGTGAAGTGCCGGCATCCTACATGGGTGCTAGTTTGAGTTTCAGCTGTTCCATTTCCAATCCAGCTCTCTGCTATGGCATGGGAAAGCAGTGGAGGATGGCCCAAGCCCTTAGGCCCCTGCAAGCACGTGAGAGACCTGGAAGAAGCTCCTGGCTCCTGGCTTCAGATCGGTGTAACTCTGGCCATTGTGGCCATTTGGGGAGTGAACCAACAGACGGAAGACCTCTCTCTCTCTCTCTCTCTCTCTCTCTGCCTCTCTGTAACTCTGCCAGAGGTCTTCCATCTGCTCGTTTATTCCCAAAATAGTCAAAACTGCCGGAGTTGCACCAATCCAAAGCTAGGAGCCAGGAGATTCTTCTGGGTCTCCCATGCAGTTGCAGGGGCACAAGGACTTGGGCCATCTTCCACTGCTTTCTCAAGCCATAGCAGAGAGCTAGATTGGAAGTGGAGCAGCCGGGACTGGCACCCATATGGGATGTGGGTACCACAGGCGGCGGCTTTATCTGCTATGCCACCGTGCCAGCCCCAGAACAAGTGACGTATTTGAACTCAGAAGATAACTGCTCAAGTCTCAGCTGAGAAAACTACTATCTCAGCAGCCAATGATTTTATGTTTTTTGCTTTCCAATTTTTTTTTAATCACCCTGCACAGTGCCTGGCATATAGGAACTACTTAATATTCTATGAGTACCTGTTCTATAATAGTTAACCCTTAATTAAGGAATCATACTTAAGAACTTATTTATATTTTATTCATTTTTCTTAGTGTGATCAAAAGCTAATTAACAGGAAATATGTTAGTTAAGAAAATATAATTGTTAAATGTAACATATATTACTTATTATCTTTTGGCAAAGATAGACCAAATAGCATATCAAAAAAAAAGCTTAACAGTATTGAATATTGACACAGAAATCTGAGCATCATATGTTATAAGGCTATAACAAATACTTAGAGCTGTAAGAAATTACCCAATCATACCTCACATTCCAAACCTGTTGTTGGTGTCAGCATGTCAAACACGGTAATTTCTGATGGAGTAATCATTTCTGGACATGTAAGAAATAAAGATGGAATGTCCATTAATGGATAGTAGCTATCAAGTAAGGAATTCACGTGTGACAGAAGCTGTGCTGAGAAATTTTTATGTAAATTTGTTTATTCCTCACAAGAGTCCTATAACATACATATCATTATTGTAATTTTATGGGTATGAAAATTACGTTTTTGAGAAGTATATTTGGTAAGTGGCAGAGGGAGAACTTGAACTCAGGAATTCTGATTCCAGAGCCCTGCTTTTAACCATGATCTTACAAAGCACCCGCACTATCTTGATAGATCAACACAATTATCTAAATAAGTAAAAATATCAATACACTAAGAACCCCTCAAAAGTTACAAATGTTACCATATTTTTAAAACTAGCAGTGCGGTTGATTGCTTGCTCTGGGTGAAGCTCTAGAATGTGTTCACTGAAGACAGAAAAGACAACCACATGGTTCTCCAGTGTGTGGGTGTGGTGAAGGGTGACCCGTGGAGAGGGGAAAAGTGATTGCTGCACATACTTGTAAGGTATATTCTACAAGGACAGTAACACCTCTCTTCTCAGGTGCTTATATGGATTAAATGAAGCCAAGTGCCTAATCCAATGACTGGCACACAAGAAGTACTCAACAAATAGCAGCCAACAAAAGCAGAAGTGTTGTACTTAGGCTATAATTTGGAAGAAGTTGTAAGATTTCTTAAAAACATTCAATTATTCACCACTGCTTTCATAAAAATTTCATTATTTTCTAAATGGACCCTTGTGATCTAGTGCCTGATAATACCTTCTATTGCATCTTTAGGCACAATTCCACACACAATGTGTATTCAAGACATGAAGTCCTTTCATGGGACATGTTCTCTCTCACTCTCACACCTTTGGACAGGCTGTCCCTTCTAGTGAGAATGTACTTCTTTCTTCTCCTAACCTACCTAATTCCTATTCTCTGTTAGCCTTTCAAGACCATACCTCCTAAATAAGTATAATGACCCTCCTGTGTGCTGTTGCTACATACCCATATTGTAATAGAGTTTTCCCTCACCATGTTTAGAGAATTGGCTGCAAGACTCCATCCTCTTGCATACCAAGATCTGCAGATGCTCAAGTCCCTTACATACTATGACATAATATTTGTATATAACCTATGCAATCCTCTTGTATACTTTTAGCTATAGCTGGATCAATTATGATACCTAATACAAGGTAAATGCTATGTTTCTATACTGTATTGTTTAGGGAATAGTGACAAGGAAAAAAGTATGTCCGTGATCAGTACAACCATAATTATTTTCCAAATGTTTTCCATCTTGGGGTGTTGAATCCACGAATGTTGAACCTATGGACATTGAGGGTTGACTGTATTACAATAACGTCTGCACTATTCAGTTATTTAGGTTAGGGGCTACAGGTTTTTCATCCTATGTTCTCCATCCACCCATCACTGAGTGTCAGGACAGTGCCTGGCACAGTTGATACTCAAATAAATTGAAAGAATAAATTAAAGTTTATCAAATAAATTGAAAGAATAAATATCTGAACTTGAACTTCTCTAAACTATAATTTCTGGAAAAGTAATCCATTAAATTTGGCACGTCTCACTGTGAGTGGACTTTGAAGCCTTTTTCTGAGTCAAGTTTTACAGTGTGGGAGGGAACCAGGACAGGAGCCCAGAATGCCTCCTCCAGAGCCTCGGATAGGACACAAACATGGGAATGCAGGCATTGAAGGAAACTCCGCTTTACGTCTGCATCACACTGGGGCTTGCTGGGTCTCTGCAAATTTAAATGGAGTTTCATAACTAAATTCTGAGAAGTGAGGGAAGTCCTAGTCTCCACGCGAACTGAAACGGAGAACGGGGTGAAGCAAACACAGAAGCATTTTGGAGGCTGTGGCACACTGAACCAGTGAACAGCTTCACTGCTCGGCTGGACATTCCTGATACCAGCAGCTGCTCTAAGTGCGCTCTAAGTGTGCCAAGGCATAAGCTACATAATGCTAATTTTAGTGGGTGAAACTGTAGCAATAGCTGTCAACAAAGGCATGCGTGGCTTACCTGGCGGCATCAGTGCTGGTTCTGTGGGAATCAAAGGGATGCCTACAAAGAAACAAAGACCTTTTCCTTAATTTGTGTTGACTTAAAGTAAGACCCAGATAATTCACATAGGGCTCTTTAACTCCAAGGAAAATGTTTTGGAAGAGAAAATTCAGATAGAATGTTAGAGGGGAAAATTACATCTATTAGAAAGTAATTAGATATTTTAGGGGCCTGTGCTGTGGCGTAGCGAGTAAAGCTGCCGCCTGCAGCGCCGGCATCCCATATGGGTGCTGGTTGGAGTCCCGGCTGCTCCACTTCCAATCCAGCTCTCTGCTGCTATGACCTGGAAAAAGCAGTAGAAGATGGCCCAAGCCCTTGGGCCCCTGTACCCACGTGGGAGACCTGGAAGAAGCTGCTGGCTCCTGGCTCCTGGCTCTGGATCGGCCCAGCTCTGGCCATTGCGGCAAATTGGGAGTGAACCAGTGGATGGAAGACTTCTCTCTCCGTCTCTCTCTCTCTCTCTCTCTCTCTGTGTGTGTGTGTGTAACTCTGACTTTCAAATAAATAAATCATTTTAAAAGAAAGTAATTAGATATTTTAAAACTATGTATGGGATATTGAAGAATTTTGTAAGGGTTTTCTGTCAGTCTAACACTTCTATTTATAACCACTTGTCTCATAAAATATTCAAGAATTTCACTTTTCAGAGTAAAATAAGCAAGATTCACACTTACAGTCTCCTGGATAAACACATTTCAGGGTGACTTCATCAAGGATCATACTTTTAGGGCAGTAGGGTAAGCATCCTTCAACCCTTTACATGAGAAAGAAACCAAAATGAAAAAAGTCTGAAATACACAAAGAACTGCTTTTAACACATGCATAAGGTATATTCTTAAGACTCTTCTATCTGATTATAAGCACTAAAGAGTGCTCTATTTGTTGCCATTTTATGAAACCACAAGCTAGTAGATAATAAGGGATACCATTATATGTAAGACAGAACTTGAACACAGAGATTCAGAACATACACTTGAACTTAGCACACACTAAGGCCATATTTTATAAATCAGTGGAAATATGAAAGACTAATTTATTGAGACTTTAATTGTTACGTTCTGCGCCCTTACTTTCTACTCCCCTCCTCACATTCAAGCACATTGACATGATCTTTGACTATCTTTGCCTTGAGAATGTTTATAGAACACAAACAGCATCTTTGGTGCCTCTTCTTGGCTATTAAATCCTAAACTCATTGAAAAGACATTAGCGATCTGTGGATGGAAGTAATGGAGAGAGGGTATGGTTGTAGTTCTTTGACACTAAGGAAAGGGAGGTCAGAAGCTGCAGTTCTCAAGAGTCTTAGAAACTCTACCCAAATTTGTGGCAGTAACTGTGGAGATGGTTGTATATAAGCCTGAAGAGACTTGGTTTTAAGCCCTAGGACATCTGGACTTAATAAATGCCCCCAGTTCTTGTATAGCACAGAAACCAAGTGAGAGTCTAAAAATATCAAGAGTTCAAGTGAGACATTGTGGGCCAAAGACAGGAAGGACCACCCAGAATATTTTCTTCTAAAGGAAAAAAAAAAAAAAAACACTGAGATTAAATTTTCCTCGCTTGATTGGAGTTCAGAGTCCAATTTATTCTTACTTAAAGGAAATAAATGTAACACTTTATGTACAACTAAGTCAAATTATTGAAGTCATACATACTACAGAGAAGTAATGCAAATATTGTCATAAAAAGGTTTTCTTACGTCTTCTCCAACATGCTAGCAGGTTACAATAATATTTTAATGTTTTAGAAATATTTATAATTGCCTCAACTGCAAAGAATTTGGATGAAAATCATACAAGACCTCTTTCCATTCAGGATGGCAATGAATTTAGGAATAAGTGTGGCCACCAGAGGGTACTTGAATGGAGGCAAATGCAGGCTACACTAAAAAGGGAGAAAAGCTAATTTTTCTCTTAACTTTAGAGGCTTATAAAGACACATTTATCATATTTTGAATATTTCCTTCTCAGATTTTAACACATAAAAGTTTAGCTTATACTTTTATGACCAGTTATTTATTTTATAAAATGAACTTGGATAATAAAACTATATTATAGTTTATTGTCAGACTTCTATTTTATTCTAAATTTTGTCAAGCAGAAGAAAACAAAAGAAAATGTAGAGTCATTTAATTGCTGGAAAGACCAGAATCATTTGGTTATCATTGTCAACATCAATTTTTTATGCAACTCAATTATTTTGCAATCATTTTATGCAAACCAAAACTGCACGCATACTCTAAAATATTTTCCCAAGATCATAATTTATTTCTTTAAAAAGACTTCAAAGCTATACATAGCAAGTTCCTCTTTATTTTCTCATACAACTGGTGATCTACTCAACTTCTAACCCACAATGCCTCAGATGCAAAACAGTTCTTATATATAACAGTCTGTTATATAACAAGAATAATTGCATTTACATATGTGTTCTGTGGTATGCTACTTAGCATCTAACTCCTAAAAGCTCTCATTTTCATTAGACATTTTTATTCTTAGCCCTTACTCTGTGTCAAAAACTGCAATAATCTTGAATAGGGGTAGAGGTTCTGGGGGACTTGGAGGATGGACACATGAGATTGTTAAATCCCAGATTAATACTTGAGTCTCCCCACCTCCCAGGGCTACAAGTGCTGTTACCTTGTCAATGTGTTCTCCCCTGAATAAAGATATCAATTAACAAATATACACCAGGGCACTTAAAAAGTTCATGGATAGTGGAATTAAAAGGTGTTTATTTTGGCATACACATATAAATTTAATAGGCATCTATTTTAATAGACATATATCTTCTTCATCTTATATCCTAAGCAGCAAAAATTCCTGGTACATCCTTATAGAAGACCCTCAGTAGCCATTTCCTGATTACAATGAAATAAACTCATGAATGAGTATACAACACACACTTTTTTCTTGAGAATAACTGATGTCTAAAAAATTCACTAAGAGCAGAATTAGCTAACAAACACTGGAATTCGTTCACTTTTGTTAAACCTCACTTACGGTGGAAGAAATTTACATGCTAGTGCTTCCGGGTCACTGCAGGTTTTAAAGCAAGGAGTGGCACAAGGTTCATATCTCCATTCACACATTCTCCTGTAAGGCACAGCTGCCTGGATTTCTAGGAAAATCACCAAGTTCAGATTATGTATATTTTTAACACACAGCTTGAAAACATACAACGTATGATATGAACCCTTGTAGGAACTGGCCCTTTGTGACAATAATGCTGTGGAAAATACAGACCTAAGGGGGAAAAGTCATTGTATTTGGGTGTTAATCAAATAATTTCATGTCCAGGTTAAATATATATCTTTAAATATTTTAAAAAGCAAAGGGTTAGAGAAGAGGCTCAGGAAGATCCAAAATTTCCTTTTTCTGTAGTTAGTCAATTTTCATTGCTCTTCAAATCCTAATACCATACACTTGTTGGAATTATGTTTTTTGCAGAGTTTTTGTGTCTATTATTCTAATGTATCCTTTGAACAACTATGCTAAATACTATTTCCAATCTAAAAATGAAAAAATTGAGGCCCACAGTATCACACAGGTAATCAGACATGAGCAATTGGGTTCACAAGACTCTCCCTCAGGGATGAAACAAAGGACCCTGCTCTCCACCAGGACCTCCTCAGGACGGCCCCCTTTGCAGTTTAACTTGCAGTCACAATATCTTGATAAAATGTGAGCTTAGCAAAACCAGAAAAGTCTGGTTTATAGCTAACCACATGCACAAAGACCCCAAAGGAAAGCAACTCCAAATATCAATCACAAATGCCAACATGCGCATCATGGCCACATCACCCATCCATGTCCCCCATACTTTAAGGATAAAATTCTCAAACTGGGAAGAAAGGGTACCATGTGCTCTCTCAACTGGCCTCTTCTTCCCTTGGAATGTACTTTAATAAATTTCACTTTACTATCCCTATTTTCATCTCTCTGAACTATAATTCTTTACTCCATCTGTGAAAAAAGTCAAGGCAAGCCAGCTGCTGCCAGTGAAAAAAGTAACCCAGTGACATGCCAAGTCAAATATCAGGAAAATAGCAAGACCAAACTTACACTACATGACCTCACATCTAGGGAGAATACTCCATCATTTTTCTCCTCCCAGAACTTAGATAATTGTCTTGTAACATAATGTATATCACTTAAATAAAAAAAGAATGGACCTGAATAATTCATGTTTACAGTTGTAAACAAATCCCCCATAATTAAAGATTTTCCTTCTTCAAATATGCTCCTCTTCCTAAATAATAGAGAAATCATTCTATAACAGTTTAAAGCTACCTCGGTAGAGAAAAAATTCAGAAAATAGGTACGTGATATGTTTCTTGGACTTTGGACACATAATCAGTTCCAAAGTATGATAAAAAAAATAAAATGTTTTAGAAAGCATCTATGTATATAAAGAACAGAATAAATAATATGCTTGAGTTCCTAACCCCATGCCCCATGGAAATAGATAGATAGATAGATATAGATATGTAAATAGATATAGATATAGATGTAGATATATAGATATACGTATATAGATATAGATACAGATATAGATATAGTTGTAGATATAGATGTAGATGGATATAAATATAAATAGAGAGAGATAGAAATAGAGATAGAGATAGAGATAGAGATAGAGATAGAGATAGGCCGGCACCACGGTTCACTAGGATAATCCTCCACCTGTGGCACCGGCACCCTGGGTTCTAGTCCCGGTCGGGACGCCGGATTCTGTCTCGGTTGCTCCTCTTCCAGTCCAGCCCTCTGCTGTGGCCCAGCAAGGCAGTGGAGGATGGCCCAGGTCCTTGGGCCCTGCACCCGCACGGGAGACCAGGAGGAAGCACCTGGCTTCTGGCTTCGGATCGGCGCAGCGCACTGGCCGTAGCGGCCATTTGGGGGGTGAACCAACAGAAGGAAGACCTTTCTTTCTGTCTCTCTCTCTCACTGTCTAACTCTGCCTGTCAAAAAAAAGATATAGATATAGATATAGATATAGATATAGATATAGAATTGGTTCCAAGACTAGATTCCTAGATTGTAGGTTTAAGAAGCCCACAAAGATCAGAGATTCAGAAGATGTCATCATTCACTGCTGTTTACTAAACGTCCAGTAGGGCATCTAGATCTGTCCTAAAGGAACAGATTTCTAGGAGAGAAGAGAAAATAAAGGCTTGTAAAGTTCATATTTAATTCAAGTGCATATCCACTCTATGGAATGTTACATAGGCATGTTGGTGATTCTTCTTCTCAAGAACAGAGTGCAAGAGACCAGGTCTCCAGATGACTTTGGCTAATCCAGCTCTCCTCCTCCTACTTGCAATTCTCAGAATAACTATAGGGTATCCCAAGGACGCATCATCCTGTGCTAGGAGGAACTGTCTAAAACAGTCCATAATCTTTCCTTGTCCCTCTTAGAACAGAATGCCTGCAAAATTTGTGTTTGGTGTGCCCAGTGTCATCTGAGGAATCAAATAAAGAGTAGAGTGCTTTCTGGGTTCTTTAGCTGGAACATGACATGGGGTAAGCATATATAAGACTCTTTCCACCCTGGACAGCTATTCTGAGCCCTGGGAAACACGCCATGGTTCCTAGGCTTCCAAAGATTCTTGACGCCTATCTGTAGGTAATAAAGGCTTGACTGACTTCCTACGTAAGTATTCAGTCTCATCATATGAGACTTAAGAATGCAAGTGCTAGAAACACTGAGGCTCCTTTTGTGCCATTGAGCCCTTTGATTAAGAAACCGTGCAGAACTCTAACAATCCATTTTGTGCAAAACCTTCTGCCAGACTTAGGAATTGGTACTGAATTGGTACACTTGAAATTTTGAAAGTCAGTTTGAACTTTCTAAAATACAAAAACTAGAGAGGTTCACAGAAACTTATGTACAGGAGAAAATAAAAACAAGTCATTATCTCTGAAAATGCTTTTGGAAGATTGGTTAGGATGAAATAATTTGCTTTAAAGACTCAGACCCGATAGCAAATTCCTGAATTTTGAAAATTCCTGGATTTTGAAAGTAAAGCACAAGTTTTAAGTCTTTTTTTTTTTTTTTAATTTGACAGAGAGACAGTGAGAGACAGAGAAAGAGAAAGTTCTTCCTTCTGTTGGTTCACTCCCCAAATGGCCGCCGCTATGGCTGGTGCTGCACTGATCTGAAGCCAGGAGCCAAGTGCTTCCTCCTGGTCTCTCATGTGGGTGCAGGGCCCGAGCACGGCCTTCCCGGGCCACAGCAGAGAGCTGGACTGGAAGAGGAGTAACCGGGACTAGAACCCTGCGCCCATAGGGGATGCCAGCATCACAGGCAGAGGATTAACCAAGTGAGCCACGGCGCCAGCCCTTTTTTAAGTCTTTTATATTATTTTTTTTTTAAAGCACAAGTTTTAAACGTTGCATAACAAAGTAAAGATTTCTTTCCAAAATGGAGAATCTAACAGACTATGGACTTTTAAGACTTTCTAGAAATGAGATCAGGTTTCTGTGAAGGAGGGAAATTTTCCCAAGGTTAATGGAACAAGACACCTTTGTAAGAATCATATTAATCGGAAGTTACCTTCTAGGAAAGAGAAAGCAGGTACAAACACTAGACAACCATGAATCATGAGTGAGTTCTCAGGCCAAACTTCAGATAGCATTGCTAGCAATTATGGGGGTAAGTAAGGCCATTTAGAGTTCTTCTAAGCCATTTACATTCAACATATTTACCAGCCACTGAAGTTTCCTATCACATCCTACCACTTTTATGGGCTTATTCTCAATCAACTCCTGTATGATTTTTTTTTTTTTTTTTTTTGACAGGCAGAGTGGACAGTGAAAGAGAGAGACAGAGAGAAAGGTCTTCCTTTGCCGTTGGTTCACCCTCCAATGGCTGCCGCGGCCGACGCACTGCGCTGATCCGATGGCAGGAGCCAGCTACTTCTCCTGGTCTCCCATGGGGTGCAGGGCCCAAGCACTTGGGCCATCCTCCACTGCACTCCCTGGCCACAGCAGAGAGCTGGCCTGGAAGAGGGGCAACCGGGACAGAATCCGGTGCCCCGACTGGGACTAGAACCCAGTGTGCGGCGCCACTAGGTGGAGGATTAGCCTAGTGAGCCACGGCGCCAGCCCTACATTCAACATATTTAATACAATAACCTTAAAATACAGGTAGTCCCCCCCCCCCTTTTACAGAAAGTAAACTGAAGGATAGAGGGAATAAGAAAAGTAAGGTGCTACAACTTTATCTCCTTAAACAGCGAGAAAGATTTTTAAATGAGAAACTGATAATGTAAATGTAAATTCTTTATTTGGAAGTTTAGGAAATGTACCTTCTATGCTGAAGCTACTTGCATGTTTAAATTCTTCAGAATCATCATATTTTGACGCTTTGACGCTAGACTCTGTGAATGCGATGAAAAAGCCTTTCTTGCTGTATAATTCAAAGGCACTGTAGCCAGGAATCCAGAGACCCTGATGGTGGAAGAACGTTGCTCTCCGCTGAAAGGCTGAATTTGCCTCCCACAGTTCCAAACTAAGAGCGTCATTGTCACGGACATAGAGAAAGTAGTTTGGCCTTTCAGCAGATTCCAAGGAAACAAGTGCCAATGCTGTAAGACATAGAGCAGTGTGTTTGACAACTGCCTGGATTCTTGGGAGAAAGTACATCATCAACACTGGCATCAACAAAGGTATTTATAAAGTTGAAAATAGTCTTGCAAAAGTGTCACACATAATTAATGGCAACCTCAAAGATTTCAAAAATCAATCATGAGATGTCTAAAAGAAGAAGCAGCACATTAAATACAATGGATAACAGTAGTAGTTAAATGCAGCGGTGTCTCCCTTCAAAAACAGCCCCGAGTGTGATCTTTTTTTAAAAAAAATATATTTGTTAATTTGAAAGAGTTACAGAGCGGGAGAGGAAGCAGCAGAAAGAGAAGGGTTCTTCCACCTGCTTGTTCACTCACTCCCCAAATGGCTACAATGGCCAGGGCAATGTCAGGCTGAAGCCAGGAGCCAGGAGTTTCATCCTGGTCTCCCACATAGGTACAGGGACTCAAACAGTTGGGACATCCTCCCAAGGCCATTAGGTTAGCAGGGAGCTGGATCAGAAGAAGAGCAGCAGGGACTTGAATGGGCACCCATATGGGATGTCAGCACTGCAGGTGGAAGTTTAACCTACTATGCCACAGAAGAGGCCATGAGGTCTACCTTTTTTAAACAATGTATTATATGCCCTTGGAGATGGGGGAGGAATATCATTGAGGACCCTAGTACACACAGATTTTTCACACAAGCAATTGCATGACCTTTTGGACATATATTTGTATTTGCAACCTTTGACATTGTTAGAAATCTATAAACAACTAAATTTTATGATAGAGAACAAAGAAATAGATCAGCTTGGGCATGGAAAAATATTTTTGTATCACTGAGTTCCTAATGAGCAAATGTTCTTGCAAGGGATTTTACAGCATCGAGAAAGGACTACTTAGTCAGCAATATTATTCCCCAAAAGGTGATAAAATTCGCCCTTATTTTTAAATCTCATGATAAATTTTTAAGTAGAGATTTTAGGTTGATTTCCTGTAATAAACACTTCATAGATTTTCCTATTAAAAGCATTAGTTAATACAAGCCATAACATATCTCCAATTCAATATCATTCCAAAGCACTCACTGTGTCCTAAAAACTTATATGTCCTTCTGTTGAATGATGGAAGATACAAAGAAGAATCAAATGAATTTTGATATGAAAAAGAAAAATATATAATCAGCATAAATTAGAATGTCAGACTATGATAGGTGTCTTTAGAACCAAAGGAGTTCTTTGTACAGGGAAGAAAGAATTTCTTTCAACTGGAGAATTGGGAGATTTATCAGAAAACATGAAAGTTAAGTCAGATCCATTTGCTCTGTGAAATTTTCCCAAGTTTAATGACATGCCATGCAGGGTTCTAGGTAGACCACATAGTCACAATGTAGCAAAGCATCAATAGATAAGAAAGGGACTCTTACACCAGTCACAGTTAGGGCCAGGTAGATACAACCTCTACAGACCTCGTGACACAAACCAGTAAATGCAGGGCTAGGTTCTAGGACATTTCAGTGAACCTGCACAACCAAGGCCCACTAAGGACAAGAGACTGTCTTAGTGCTTGTGTACATTCCTCATTATGCATGTAATGTTTGACTTCTTTGATATCAAATCACAATTTGTTCTTTTATTTAACCTGGCATTGAATTTCTCAAGCTATTAGAAATCAATGAATTATTTTTCAAAAATTTCAAGTTAAGTTCTGAGGTTAGCATTCTGAAAATTTAAGCTATTTTATTACATTCTGAAAATTCAAACAATCATCGTTCTAACACATGCCAAGAAGTAAAGAAAGGAATTTTACAAACAAAATAGATAGCTGGTCCATGTGCCAATGTAGTATTTTAATTTATATCCTTTGGAACACATAGAAAATGCCAAAAACATATAAGATCCCTAATTAATGCTTAATGAATGAATGAAAGCAAATATGTAAATGGAAACCAAATCCTGATTTTCAATTATACTTACATGATACCTTCTCTTTGAAAAGACCTGGGGTAATCATAAAATTAAAAACCAAATTTCCATGAATGCTACTTCTTGGCAAAGAGAAAATGCTTCTACTGGTCATATTGGCCCCCATAATAAGGCCAGTCTCTCCATAACTTGCTAGCATGTATGGTCCCTCTCCAAGTCCTAGTGAATACAAATGAGAGAGTTATAAACTTGCATGGGGATTTAAAAAATTCAATTTGTCATTTCAATAAAGTCATTTTTAAAAATTATTTTGAAAGATAAAGAGAGCAAGAGAGAGAGAGAGAGAGAGAGAGAGAGAGAGATACAGAGCATGCTCCTATCTGCTGATTCACACCTCCAATGCCTGCAATGGTTAGGGCTGGACCAGGGCTGAAGCTCGTAGACAGGAAAGCAATCTATGTCTCCAACATGGCTGCCAGAGATCATCACTGCTGCCTCCCAGGGTCTACACTAATGGGAAGCTGAAGTCAGGAGCTGGAATCAAGAATTGAATCCAGGTACTCTGATGTGGGATACTGGTATTTTAATTTCTAGGTCAAATACCTACTCCCTGAAATAATTTTTTTAAAGATTTATTTATTTATTTGATCGGAAGAGTTAAAGAGAGAGAGACAGAGAGAGAGAGAGAGAGAGAGAGAGAGGAAAACACAGGGACAGAGAGAGCATCCATCTACTGGGTCACGCCCAGATAGCTGCAACAGCCAGGGCTGGGTCAAGTCAAAGCCAGGAGCCAGGAGCTTCATCTGGGTCTCCCACATGGGTGGCAGGGGCCCAAGTACTTGGGTCATCTTCCACTGCTTTTCTCAGACCATTAGCAGAGAACTGAATTGGAAGTAGAGCAGCCAGGACTTGAAGCTGTGCCCATATGGGATGCCAGCCTTGCAGGTGGTGGCTTTATCCACTACATTGCTAATCCAACTCCTGAAATAAATTTTAATAACCAAAAAATGCTCTAAAAATGTGGAGTGATAAAAATTTATTACTAATAAAATAACTGAACTATTTTCAAAATAGTAATTTGGCATACATACATATTCTGAATATATACACATACAATTGAGTATATGTATATATGTGTCTATATTTATATATGCATGTCCATGTTTATATACTTTTTATATGTTTATGGATGTATATATATATATATGATATGTATGTATATAGGTATTTATATAAGTAAAGCAGACCTATATAAAAACTTGGTCTGCTAGCCTTTCATCTTAAACACTATAAGAAGCTAATCTATCCTCAATAAATATAAGAAGTTTAACTATATCAATGGCAAGAATGAGGCACTTCAAAAGGCTCATAGAAACATGGAATGAAAAGTAGTATAGATTTTCAAAGAACTTTTGGAAGAACACCTTCATGGTATTCTAAAAGCCATCCCTCCTTAGTAAGTTATATTACATGAGAAGAGGATTGACAAATATATTTATACAATATTTTGTTGTTCTGGGAATTATTGAATTTCATGTGTGATACATGTTTATAAAAAAGAAAAAGTACGATAAAGCTGAGCAGAGAAGTCTAAGACCTTTTATCACCCAAATGATTCCCTCTAAGATGCAACATATTTACTACAGTAAAAAGGTAGTCAGCCTAGAACCAAACTTAAATTCCAGAGAAATTTTAAATCTGTAAGTGACAAGTTCATTAACACTGAAAAAAAGTTTTGTTAGAAGTAATGAAAATGAGGTTAATTTACCATCAACACAATCTCTATTCCATTTAAAGTTCTAAATATAACTGAGATATGAATCAACTTTGAGGTTTCTCCTGCATCACAGAAAACTAGATAATATAATCATCATCTGCAGAAGGAACGCCAGAAAGTACAAAGGCACAGACGGAGATTTTTACAGCAGAACTGTGTGAGACAGGAATTTTTTTAAGAGGGGAAGTTATTGGAGCATTTTCTGATTTTGATGTCTGTGTACATTATGTAAAATATGTGATAATAATATGTGGTGATCATTCCTACAGTAAGATGTGTTAACCACACATCTGGCCACATAGCATGGAGCCAAGCTTACTGATTGTGAAGTCGGATGGTTTACAATTCCTGTTTACCACATTATAGCTAAGGGACATTGGCAAAGTTATTTAAACATTCCGTGCTTCAATTTCTTCATCTGTAAAGTGTTAATAATAACAGACTTTTGATAATACAATAAAATATGTTTAATTTTAAATTATATAGGAAAGGTAGTTAATACAACAAAAGCTATTATTATTAACATTGTTATTACTGCGTAATCAACTGTATTGTAATCATAGAATCCAAAGGATTGAGATTGTCTCTGTCTCTTTCCCCAGCCTCCCACCCTGCCCCACCTTATATGTGTGTGTGCTTAAAATTTTGGGCAGGAAATATTTTTGGTTATATTTTCTTTAACCATGAGAGTTTTTTCTTAATGTTGAATTTTTCATCCATCAAGTTTCCATAAATGTAACAAAAACAAAATCTAAACATCAATTTTCTTTTTAAATTATCATCTCTAATTCTCTAAAATTATCTAGTCTTTTTTTTTTTTTTTTTTTGACAGGCAGAGTTAGACAGTAAGACAGTGAGAGAGAGAGACAGAGAGAAAGGTCTTCCTTTTTCTGTTGGTTCACCCTCCAAGTGGCTGCCAAGGCTGGTGCGCTGTGCCAATCTGAAGCCAGGAGCCAGGTGCTTCCTCCTGGTCTCCCATGCGGGCGCAGGGCCCACGGACCTGGGCCATCCTCCACTGCACTCCCGGGCCACAGCAGAGAGCTGGACTGGAAGAGGAGCAACCAGGATAGGACCGGCGCCCCAACCGGGACTAGAACCCGGTGTGCCGGCGCCACAGTGGAGGATTAGCCTAGTGAGCCGCGGCGCCGGCCTTATCTAATCTTCTTTATACATTTCCAACTGACCTATTTCTCTCTTGCTGAAGAAGCCACCCCAAGTGCTCAGGGTTAGTACAATGGACCCCTCTTTAGATCACTCTTGTCTGAACTGAGTTTCGGTAGCTATGCCTTCCTATCATTAAATAGACTACGATAGGCAGACTCCAGTTCTGCTATCTTCCGGCATTTTCACTGAGGATGTACATGTAGTTCTCTGTCTCTTCTTGGATCTGTGCCTTAGTTTTAGGCAGCATCTCCTTTCAGACCTTTGACTGCAAATGCAGATGAGTGGAAGGGGTAATATTTTTACTGTTAATAAGTTCCCATTCTTTTCTTTTGCCTTTAATAATGATAAAATAAATTCCTTACATTGTCATCACGTCTATTCTTCTGTTTCTTTGCTTCTTACAACATTGTAAAAACTTGACTAGAGTCACCATGCTGTGCACCAGACCACAAGAACACGTCCTTGCTGTGTCACTGAAACTGTGTTCTGTGATGAACAAGGCACCACTCCCCCACGCAGCCATGGGCAACCATTTCTCTCTACTTCTGTGAGTTCTACTGTTTTCTTTCACACATGTAAGTAAGACCTTCTGGTATTTGTGTGCTTGCCTGATTTCACTTAGCATAGTGTCTTCTGAGCTTATATATTTTGTCACAAATGACATGATTACCTCTTTTTTTTCAAGTTTGAACAGCTAAAAGAAGGTTTTAGATGTTCTTATCAGAAAGAAATAATAAATATTTGAGGTGATGGATATGCTAATTAGCCTGACTTCAACTTCCTATGATGTATACATGCATCAAGACACATTGTATTCCATTAATACATACAATATTATCAATTAAAAATAAGGGGCCAGCAGCTGTTTTAGGACAGAGGGTTAAGCCACTGATTGCAATGCCAGCATCCCACGTTCGAGTCCTGGCTGCTCTGCTTCCAATCCAGCTCCCTGCTAATGGGCCTGGGAAACCAGAGTATGATGGCCTGAGTGCCTTATCCCCTACCACCCATGTGGGAGACCCAGAGAGTTCTGGGCTCCTAACTTCAGCCTAGTCCAGCCCTGGCTGAAACAGTCAATTGGGGGTGAAACAGTGGATGGAAGATCTCTGGTTCTCCACCTCTCCCTCTTTTACCCTGTTATTCTGCCTTACAAATAAATAAATCTTAAAAAAAATTTAAAAATCTGAACAATGTCCATATTTATATATAATGCTAAGAATTTAAAAATTTTATAGTCATTTTAACAATTTAACAAAAAAGTTTAACAAAAATTTTAACAATTTTTATTGATTAAGGCCCTATTAAATCTGAGAACTTAAGTTACACAGTTTTATTTTTAAGGAAGAAATTTTAACACAAATGCTTAGAGAACTTACAGAAATGAAAGAGCTTTCATGGCATTATGTACCAAGTTATGAAATACTTGTACCTTGTACCCTGAACAAGTTGTTCAAAAACATTTTAATCTGAAAATGCATCTAATAGAATGGTGATATTCTTTATTAAAATGTCACATAGGGGGCAGCAAGTTGGTCTAGCTGTTAGGATACTCACATCTCATACTAGAATACTTCAGTCCAGGTCGCAGCTACACTTCCTATTCCAGTTTCCAGATAATGTGCAACTTGGAAGGCAGCAAGTAATGGACCAAGTGGTCGGGTCCCAGCTGGGAGACTCAGATTAAGTTCCTGGCTCCTATATCTGAACTGACCTAAGCCCTTGCAATTGCAGGCGCATGGAGAGTGAAGCAGGGCATAGAGGATCTCTATCTCATTCTGTTTTTCAAATACACAAATTTAAAAATTATATAAAATGTTACATACCTTCATTGTAATATTCACAGTCAAGTGCTGGAAGAAAAAAAATAAAGTATTTAAGAAGCAAGAGATTATCTGGATATGTACAAGAGATGACTATCTATTCGCCCATAACCACGTGAAAGAACATAGAGTGGCATCACTGTTTATGAACTTTCTCCAGGAAAAGGGGGTTCTGCTAGGTGCTGTGTTGTAATTAACTATCATGTTTGTTTTAAAGGTAAGCAAATATAAATGCTAATTTAGAAAAGTCACCTGAAAATTTTCAATTTGTGAAATATTCAGATAATTTGTCACCTACACAAGTAAAAGAAATATTTAAAGAGCCAAATATGAAAGCAATTTTGAGATGTTTTCTCAAAATACATTTTTGACAATCAGAACAGTGAAGTCTCCCAGGTATAAAAGAGTTGGAGTCATAAACGGCTTCTCTAAGGATGACATATAATTTGTACTTCAAATTGGAATGACAGCATTGAAACACCACAGAAAACTTAGCTCATGTGTTTCTTTTTATAAATACTTTTGATATATTTCAAGCATAATTGTTAAAGGAAGATAGCATTTAGCAGTGGTAAATTAATTCTATCTCCATAAGATTCATGACCATTGTTTCGTGATGCAACAACAAATTAATGGATCTTGTTAAAAGATTCCCACTTTTTTTGTTCTTCTTTTATTTATATAATGTGAACAAATGTATTTCATATATACAGACATAGGAGCACAGCGATGCTTCCCATCCTACCCTCCCTCCCACCCACACACCCACCCTACCCCCTCCTTCCTTTCTTATTTTTTTCTTTTAGTTTTCATAATGATGTACTTTCACTCTATTTTATAATCATAAGATTAACCCTCTACTAAGGAAAGAATTCAAGTCTAAGCAGAGAACTCACAACAGGCAGTAGATGGTCTCCAGTGAATTGACACGCCTTCCTGACAGCACTTGTATGCATATGCTGCTATGCTAGTGCACAAACATTCACAATCCCCACCAAGATTACATTGACACGTATCTTCATGGCAGTTTTTGGCAAAAGATGTAACATCAATCTGAAAAGGGAGTGAAAGATGATTTAATTTTTAAGTCATGATGATTTTCCTTAGTAGGTACTATTATTAAAATTCGCCCTCTAAAAGAAAGCTTTTGGTATTTTTCATAATATGATATTATCAGCTAAACACTGCCATCTAGAGAATTCGCACGATCTCAAAAATCTATACTGTCCATAGGAGGCAGGAAATTCTTAGGTAAATGTCATGTCAAAGAACTAGCAAAGCAAATAATAAGATTAATGAATAAATACAATTTCAACATTGTGATAAATTGATGAATGTTTTTAGAAATTAATTATTTCATTATCAGCATATTCACATGACATTACAAGAAAGCATGTTCTGCTTCAAATTATACTTCATGTAGATTTTGCAGCCTCCTCTTAGGCAATATCCGAGTGATTGAATGGTAATATGTATTCTAATTACACATATTTACTTTATCAGTGTACTTTATTTGCAGTGTACTTGTTAAGTAGCTGACAAAATTTAATATGTTGTTGACAATATGTTAAAAAAAAAGATGGGGGCAGGTGCCATGGCTCACTTGGCTAATCCTCCACCTGTGGCGTCGGCATCCCATATGGGCGCCGGGTTCTGTCCTGGTTGCTCCTCTTCCAGTCCAGCTCTCTGCTGTGACCCGGGAAGGCAGTGGAGATGACCCAAGTGCTTGGGCACCTGCACCCGCATGGGAGGCCAGGAAGAAGCACCTGGCTCCTGGCTTCGGATCGGCGCAGTACCAGCCATAGCAGCGGCCATTTGGGAAGTGAACCAACGGAAGGAAGACCTTTCTCTCTGTCTCTCTATCTCACTGTCTAAACTCTATGTGTCAAAAAAAAAAAAAAAAAAGAAGAAGAAGAAGAAGGAAGGTTGGGGTGGGCATTTGATGCAGCAATTAAGATACTTCTTGAGACTCCTGCATCCCATTTCAGAGTGCCTTAGTTCTGGTCCTGGTATCACTCCTGATTCCAGCTACTTGCTAATGTGTATCTTGGGAAGCAGCAGATAACATCTCAAGTGGCTGGGTCCCTGTTACCCACTTGGAAGACCAGGATTGAGTTCCAGGCCCCTGGCTTGGGCCTGGCCCAGTTCCAAATGTTGTGGGCATTTGCAATGCCAATGGCGTCAGAGTCTCTCTCTCTCTCTCTCTCTCTCTCTCTCTCATTATTTTAGAAAAATCAAAAGAAACAGAGTTTGGTATCCTTATTTGTGTGTTGTTTCATAGGCCAGTTCCTGTATTAAGTTTTTTAAAAGATTTATTTATTTAGTTGAAAGGCAGAGTTACAGAGAGACAGAAAGGGAGAGAGAGAGAGAGAGAGAGAGAGGTCTTCCATCTGCTGGTTCACTCCCCAGATGCCCACAATAGCCAGAGCTGGGCTGATCCAAAGCCAGGAGTTAGGAGCTTCTTGGAGGTCTCACACGTGGGTGCAAGAGCCCAAAGACTTGGGCCATCTTCCACTGTCTCCCAGGCCTTAGCAGAGAGCTGGATTGGAAGTGGGGCAGCCAGGACTCAAACAGGTACCCATATGGGATGCTGGCACTGCAGGCGGCAGCTTTACCTGCTATGCCACAGCACCAGCCCCCTGTGTTAGTTTTTCTTTTCAAGTGGTTACCAGAAGAACCAACTAAACTCCATGGCTCTGGACTGCAGAATAGACATGCTATTATGCTATTTTTTCCCAAGTATATGGTTCTTAGAAACTCTGAGAAGTCACAAAAGCAATCCCCCCCCCTTTTTTTTTTGACAGGTAGAGTTATAGACAGCAGAGAGAGAGAGACAGAGAGAAAAGTCTTTCTTCCGTTGGTTCACTTCCCAAATGGCCGAAGCCAGGAGCCAGGTGCTTCTTCCTGGCCTCCCATGCGGGTGCAGGTGCCCAAGCACTTGGGCCGTCCTCTACTGCCTTCCCAGGTCACAGCAGAGATCTGACCTGGAAGAGGAGCAACGGGGACTAGAACCTGGCGCCCATATGGGATGCTGGCACCACAGGCGGAGGATTAACCGCAGAGGATTAGCCTAGTGAGCAATCCTTTTTGTCAACAGGTTTCTTCTAATAACTATTACTTCATTCTGTCAAACTTTTTTGTATCGGGACACTTTTTTGTTAAAGTATGTGAAGTCCCACCCTTTCTTATGCATGTAGTAGGAAAGGAAGGAGTGTTTTAATATATTTCTCAGGACATTCTGACAGTCTTTGACACTATTATCAAACTTCAGATTGTTGCTTCTTCAAAGCACAGGTGTAACTGTGAAATCTGTACTTCGCTATACCAAAACTTTTTAGGTTATCTCACCCTTTACATGGATCTTTTAGTGCTGCATGATTGTACAACATTCTACACTGGCCACCTTGAAAATTTATTGACTTATGCACCTCTCAGCCATACGCATTCTTTTTATTCTATATGGCCATGACAAGTCACATTTACTAACATCACCATCTGTATCATGAAGTTCATTAAGTCTCACAAAATTTTAAAGCTCAGTGGTGGGTCTAAGGTTTATAATATTCTAAATTTCAGTTGAAAGTTCAAATTTTATCAAGGACCTTGAATATCATCAGGTACTTTCTTTTCTTTCTTTTTTTTTAAGATTTATTTATTTATTTATTTGAGAGGTAGAGTTAGAGAGAGAGGGAAAGACAGAGAGAAAGGTCTTCCATCTGCTGGTTCACTTCCATATGCTGCAACAGCCAGAGTTGGGCCAATCTGAAGCCAACAGCCAGGAGCTTCTTGCAGGTCTCCCACCAGGGTGCAGGGGCCCAAGTGCTTGGGCCATCTCCCACTGCTTTCCCAGGACATAGGCAGAGAGCTGGATTGGAAGAAGAGCAGCTGGGACTTGAACAGGAGCCCATATGGGATGCTGGCACCACAGATGGAGACTTAGCCTGCAGTGCTACAGCGTCAGCCCTGCATCAGATGTTTTCTTTGAAGTCACTCATTTAAAAAAAAAAATCTGTCAAACATCTTCGAATAATCATGTTTGCCTGTCATTTAGCCTGTCAAGTAAAAATGGTGTTCTAAGAAAAGGGCAACCAGCTTAGCTCACAACTCAATCATATGAGTGCCTTTCCTGGACACCACTGGCATTATTTTGGTACGCAGTAGGAGTGTTGTTTGAGTTTTACAACTATATCAAGCTATTTTTCAAAATTCTATTGAGGACTGAAGTTATTATGTGGAGAAAGAGTTTAGAATGATGAATTTTAGAATAAATTATATTCATCTTGAGATGTGCTTCTAAACTTATTTTAGTGGTGTAGTGGGTAAAGCCGCTGCCTGTAACAAAGGTATCCCATACAGGTGCTAGTTTGAGACCCAGCTGCTCCACTTCCAATCCAACTCCCTACTATGGACGCATAAAAGCAGCAGAGGATGGCCCCAGTGCTTGGACCTGTGCACCATGTGGGAGACCTGGAAGAAACTCTGGGCTCCTGGTTCCAGCCTGGCCCAGTTCCAGCGTTGCGGTCATTTTGGGAGTGAACCAGAGGATGGAAGATTTTCTCTCTGTGTGTCTCCTTCTCTCCTATCCCTGCCTTTCTAATAAATAAATGTCTTTTTAAAAAGTCATTTTAAATGTGGGTTAAGAAGAGAAATGCCAATTTGATGATGTTCTTTGAAGATGGATAAACATTTATGCCCTTGATCATAAAATAATATATAAATAATATATAATATATTATAAAATATATAAATAATATATATTATATATAAATAATACCAGATCATTGCAAATATTATGTCCAAAGGTACACTGTTAAATGAGATGGAATCAGAGAGGAAGTAAATCAAATAAATACATCACTTCTATAGAAAACTAACAAATCTCTGCTCCTAAGTGGTTAGGCAGTATAGTTGAAAGGCTGAAGGACAGCTCCATTAGCTGTCTTGTCTTACCAATATCATCTATACAGTGGTACCCCCTTACGTTTGTGAGTTTAGTAAAGTATTCATTTACCACATTGCGACAAGGAGCAAAAACATCACTGTATAAAATGGAGCATTCTCTCTTGGCATAAGGAAATTTGTTTTGATGTGCCTCACAGGGCCTCATGGTTTCTTCTGGAGTTTCACACTGTTGAAAAAATTGAAAGGAGAAAATATAATTTTTGAAGAAGTGCTTTCTTCAGCTAAAACCAAAGTAACTTACCCAGCTCCAGCCATTATATCTATCATATCCTTGTCCTTTCAGACAAGCATTACCTAAAGCACCTGCTCTCATCCAACTCGATGTTCATAGCATACATTGTTTTTGAAAGCAAATAAACAGAATATTATAATCATGGCAATACTAGAAATAGAGTGAAGAAAAGTTTTAAATTGTCTTAAGTGAAGCATTTACATGACATTAAAAATTGCATGAGCCTCTGTCCTTGAACTTCTACTTTTTCCATTGTCACAAATCATCTTCTGATGAGTTCAGTGTTCTCAAGTCTATCAACTCACACCCATATACTCAGCAGCAAGGTGGGTCTCTGCTTCCCCTCGTCCACCTCCCTGAAATGATCTGAGAAAGGTCATGAATGACCTTTTTATTACTAAATATAATGGCAACGTTTCAGTCTTCATCTTACTTGGCCTTTTGCTACCTTTGCTTCTGTTTAGTTCTTGGCCCTTCTTATACATCTCTCTTCGTTTGGTTTTGACAGCAGTTTTCCACTGGACATTCTCCTCCTACCATGGTAGATATTTGCAAGTCTCCTTCTGCCCTGCTTTGCAAGATTATATTGGGGCTGGCGCTGTGATATAGTGGGTTAAATCACCATCTTCAGTACTGGCATCCCATATGGGCACTGGTTTGAGTACCGGCTGCTCCACTTCTGATCCAGCTCTCTGCTAATGTGCCTGGGAAAGCAACAGAAGATGGCCCAGGTGCTTGAGCTCCTGGCCCACGTGGGAAACCAAGACAAAACTCCTGGCTCCTGGCTTTGGCCAGTTTTTCCATCTCTGTTCTTAATTCTGATTTTCAAACAAATAAAAACTAAATCTTAAAAAATGATTACATCCTCAAACCTCTATTTTTCTCATTCTGTACACTTTTTCTGACTTCTACAACTTGAATGCATTAATAATTGCCCAATCTCTATTTCTATCCCAAGTCTCTCTTCCTTGAATTTCAAAACTGGTTATTTCCAGCTAAATATTTCTGATCACTTCTGCCCCAACGCATCACAAACTGTACTAATTTCTACATCATTGTCTTGCCCCCACCACCCCTAGACCTTCTTTCTGCCTTGATGTTCCTCCTTAGGGAGGAACAACTAGCATGCACCCAATAAGCCAGGAAGGTAGGGGATGTTCTTGAATCCTGGTGTTTCTCCTTCCTACCACAGTCTTTCAACAGATGCTAATGATTTGCATCTTTAATGTAATCTGAAATTTATGTGATCTTCTAAATCTCCACTGACTTGGCATTTCTAGCTATACTATAAGGGCCTCCAAGCCATCATATTTTGCATTTCTATATTTTGCATTCCAGCCATTCCCTATTTCAATACCTATACCACAACCGCCTTTAAGTTCTTGAAATTCACTTTACGTACCATGCTCTCTCCAAATGCTGACACCCTCTGGATAATTGCCACTGCTTTTTCCTGCTGCATTCTTTCCCATTAACTTCACTTTCTAATCTCCTGTGCATGTTATAGGATTCACTTCTAAGCACCTTTTCCAGGAAACTTCCTTGGACCATCATGACTCCCATTTTGTGTGCATTTCTATCAAAGTACTATATTTGCCACTAAATTATTATTGTAATTTTTCTTTTTTTTAATTTTTTTTATTTTTTGACAGGCAGAGTGGACAGTGAGAGAGAGAGAGACAGAGAGAAAGGTCTTCCTTTGCCATTGGTTCACCCTCCAATGGCCACCGTGGCCGGTGCGCTGCGGCCGGTGTACCACGCCGATCCGATGGCAGGAGCCAGGTACTTCTCCTGGTCTCCCATGGGGTGCAGGGCCCAAGCACTTGGACCATCCTCCACTGCACTCCCTGGCCACAGCAGAGAGCTGGTCTGGAAGAGGGGCAACCGGAACAGAATCCGGTGCCCCGACCGGGACTAGAACCTGGTGTGCCGGCACCGCAAGGTGGAGGATTAGCCCAGTGAGCCACGGCGCCGGCCTATTATTGTAATTTTTCTACCTCACCTATTAAACTATGTTCTAAACCCCTTAAAGTTAAAGATAGTGTTTTATTCATATTAAGTGCCTGTATATCATAGAAAACATGAAGCATTAATGAGAACATATTAAATGAAAAAGTGATTTGACTTTCAGCTTTGTCTATTAGGTCTGAGTAAGAAAACCCATTTTAGGTGGTTTAACATTATTTAATTACTTCAAATATTTAGTATTACTAGAAATTCTTTTTTTTTTTTTTTTTTTGACAGGCAGAGTGGACAGTGAGAGAGAGAGACAGAGAGAAAGGTCTTCCTTTTCCGTTTGTTCACCCCCCAATGGCCGCTGCGGCTGGCGCGCTGATCCAAAGCCAGGAGCCACGCGCCTTCTCCTGGTCTCCCATGCGGTTGCAGGACCCAAGTGCTTGGGCCATCCTCCACTGCACTCCCGGGCCACAGCAGAGAGCTGGACAGGAAGAGAAACAACTGAGACAGAATCCGGTGCCCTGACCGGGACTAGAACCCCTGGGTGCCGGCGCCGCAGGTGGAGGAGTAGCCTATTGAGCCGCGGCACCGGCCACTAGAAATTCTTATTCCTTAATTTATTTTCACATGGGGGAAAAGTAAAAACTTTCTTCAAAAAGTTCTAAAGGTTGAGGAGACATAAGATAGTCATAATTAAAAGAATGTTGTTCCTCTCAAGTAGTAGATATTTTGCAATTGAAAATATAATCATTGCATATTTAAGTACAGATGACACTAAAATACACTACACAAATTTTGCCAAACAAGATGTTTTACCCAATCCCCTTTTCATTCATTAAAAAAGATTTAGACATATAAACTAAATTAGGTAAAACAGCAACATAACTAGCCAGATAATAACCAATCAGGAAATTGTGTTTTCAAATATGCCTATCAACTAAAAATAAGATAAAAAAGTAAAAGAGATGTAGACTTATGTCTTTGATCCATTTTGAGTGGATTTTTCCATAAGGTGAAGGTAAGGGTGTAGCTTCATACTTTTGCGTGAGGAGATCCAGTTTTTCCCAGCTCCATTTGTTGAAGAAACTCCTTGCCTCAGGGATTGATTTTAGCTCCTTTGTCAAAGATAAGTTGGTTATAGATGTGTGGACTGACTTCTTGAGTTCCTATTCTGTTGTATCTGCTTTTGTGCTACTGCCAGGCTGTTTTGATTATAACTGCCCTATATATATATTCATATATATATATATATATCTTGAAATCTGGTATTGTAATGCCTCCGACTTTGTTTTTGTTGTGTAAGATTGGTTTATCTATGCAGGATCTCTTGTGTTTTCACAGAATTTTAGCATCATTTTTTCTGGATGTGAGAAGAATTTCATTGGTATTTGGATTGGGATCACATTGAATTTGTAAATTGCTTTCAGTACTATGAACATTTTGGTGATATTGATTCTTCCAATCCATGAACATGTGTGGGGAGCAACTCGGACTAGACTAAGTTACTGGAATTAAGACTTATTCTATGCATCTGCTCTCCCACAATATGGCGCTGGGAGAGGAGGAAACAGCTTCTACACAGCTGCCTCCAGTTCAACCAATAAACAGCAGGACCTGCTCCTGATTGGAGGAGAGCAGCGTACTTGGCGTGTGGGTAGCAGAGTTGGGATTGGTGGAAGAGGACTATAAAGGAGGGGAGAGACGGCATGCACCGGGAACATCTATCTGAAGGAACACCTGTGCAGCCCCCAAGAGAGCCGGCCGGCGGTGTGCCGCTCCCCCGTGGAAGTGGTCGGTAGCCAACCCGGGAAGAACCAGCAGCCAACCCGGGAAGGACCGAGCAGATGAAAGAACAGCACAGGGTCCTGTGTTGTTCCTCCGCGAAGAGGGGGAGCGACAAACATGGAAGATTTTTCCAGTTTTTGATGTCTTCTTCTACCTCATTCTTTAATGTTTTATAATTTTCATTGTAGAGATTTTTGACATCTTTGGTTAAATTTATTCCAAGGTATTTAATATTTTGTAGCTACTGTGAATTGGATTGATTTTGAAAGTTCTTTTTCATTGTCTCATAGACAATGTATACATTGTACTGATTTTTGTGTGTTGATTTTGTATCTTGCCACTTTACCAAATTCTTTTAAGAGTTCCAATAGTCTTTCAGTGGAGTCACCTTACACAAAAATTCACTCAAAATGATAAAAGACCTAAATCTATGACCTGAAGCCATCAAATTACTAGAAAACATTAAGGAAACTCTGCAAGACATAGCCATAGGCAAAGACTTCTTGGAAAAGACCCCAGAGGCACAGGCAATCAAAACCAAAATTGGCAAATGGGATTACTTCAAGCTGAGAAGCTTCTACACTACAAAAGAAATACTCAGCAAACTGAAGAGATGGATGACAGAATGGGAGAAGATATTTGCAAACTATGTAACTGATAAAAGATTAATATCCAGAATCTATAAAGTGCTTATGAAATTAAACAATAAAACAAACAATCCAGTTAAGAAATGGGCAAAGGATTTGGACACGCATCTTTCAAGAGAGGAAATTCAAATGGCCAACAGATATCTGAAAAAATGCTCGGGATCACTAGCCATCGGGGAAATGTAAATCAAAATCACAGTGAGGTTTCACCTTACCCCAGTTAGAATGGCTCTCATATGGCAATCAACAAGCAACAAATGCTGGAAAGGACGTGGGGAAAAATATACCCTAATCACTGTTGCTGGGTATATAAACCAGTGCAGTTACTATGGAAGACAGTATGGAGTTACCTCAGAAATCAGATTATAGACCTACCATATCATCCAGCCATCCCACTACTGGGAATTTACCCAAACCAAAGATATCAGCAGGTGAAAGAGTTATCTGTACCTCCATGTTCATTGCAGCTCAATTCAAAATAGCTAAGATGGAATTAACCCAGATGACCATCAACTGCTGACTGGATAAAGAAAGTATGGTATATATACACTAGGGAATACTATTCAGCTGCAAAAAAAAAAATGAAATCCTGTCTTTTGCAACAAAATGGATGCAACTATAAACCATCATAGTTAGTGAAATAAGTCAGTCTCAAAAAGACAGTTAGCATATGTTTTCACTGATCCAAGGTAACTAATAGAGTACCTAAAATGTATTGGAGTGAAATGGATGTTTTGTGATTCAATGATTGTTTACAGCCCTTGTCTCTTCTGTTAAGGAACAGTGGTCTTTTTTTTTCTCTCTTTTCTTCATACTATTTGTTGAACTCTTTTACTTGGTGTAGAGTTTATTTTATGATCACTAAGTTAATTTAAAGTAGATCTTTGTAAAAATTAAGAGTGGGAATGGGAAAGGTAGGAGGAAGAAGGGTTGGAGCGTGGGCAGGAGGGAGGGTAGGGTGAGAAGTATCACTAAGTTCCTAAATCTGTATACATGAAATATGATGGAACTTGTATAACTTAAATAAGATTTTTAAAAAGAACAGAAATGGTAGACCCTTTCTCAAGTTACACTGTTTTCTGAGTTCGCTCAGCAAATTTTTCAGTGTATTCTACAGAGAACAATTTTCTTGACAACTGACAAATAAAAACAAGGGTTCTATGTCAGTAAATTTGTGAAATCCTTCAAACACATCCCATATTTCTAGACTTTTAAAGCCTTAAGAAATCTTTCAAAAGAGAAATGTTTAACTGAATTCATCTAACTGATCCCAAAGGTGGCAGACCACGAATCAACCCTACACATAAGCATGTATACACACATACACCTTTATTCTTATGTAACACTAGTAAAACAAGAAACAGTCATGTTCTGAGAACAAACATTAAGAAATTCTGACTTCATTCTTTCATTGCTTTGAGGTGGTGAAAGTTGTATCATTTTTAGAAATGAATTTACATAGATAAGGCATTATGCTCTAGTGAGGAAAACATGCAAAACAACGAAGGAGTTTGACTATCACCTCTGCCACTATCTGGCTCTATATGTCACAAAAGTCATTTAATTCTGAGCTTCAGTTTCTTCATCTATAAAATGGAGAACAAAATCTATGTTTACATAATGAGTTGACCTAAGATTTACATGAGATGATATATATACATATAAAAGTAGTTCATTAACTGTGAACTGATATAAAAACCTTATTAAAAATATTATTACCTAAATAAAATTTCCTGTAAGGATAAAATGATCTAGTGGAAAAAAATTCTAATTTTTTTTTGCTTAGTTTTAAATGCAAGTATTTAACTTACCTGTCCTAATGCCCAGCTATCTCCAAACACCTGAGCATTTCTTACTTCCAAATTATTAGATGTGGTCATATCATTTGAAGTACATTTGTCAAAGTTTCCACACAATCCTGATAGTTTGCTCTAAAGTTAAGGAAAATTATCATGACATATTTTATATTTATTTAACTTTTAAAGACTCATACCAATTTAAATTTGAAGTATTATACATATATATTTAGGAATTTCTACATCAACCATTTAGAAAACAAATATTTGAAGAAAGTAAATTCTTATATCTGTTTAATTAAATTTAGTAATCATTTTAAATATTAAAAAAATATTTAAACAGCCCCAAACCTTATCCATCTACGCCAATCAACATCTCACCATTGGTACAACTAGCAATATAAATTACTTGTAAATGCATAATTCAAACACTACAGTATATATGTCACACCCATACACATATACACTTACATGTATTCATTATTTATGTACACTTATACTTTTTTAATGCTGAAAAATCCATTTGCTGATAAGTTTAAGATTTTTAACACTAAATATATTTAAACAATAGAAATAACTTAGCTTGTAATGAGTTATGAAATGATCGTGACTATAGCCAGATGGACCACTCGTATCAGCACTACCCACAGGATTTTCTCAAAATAGTGTGAATAACTTTACTCTTGGAGAAAGGAGGGAGACTTAAGAACTGGAAGATCTTTCACAAACAATAGCATTCCTCCTTAAACCTTGAATTTAAGCTTGCTGAACTCTCCTTCAATGGGGAAGAACAGAGTGATACAGATAGTGCCCATGTCTCCAGCAATGCTGACACTAGCCCTATGATTACAGCTGTAGTGGCTTCCTATTACCAAGTAGCTTCTACTTTCAGAAACCACATCTCTCCCAATTCAGTGGCCATTTCCACCAGTGGTCATTCAAGAGCTGAGATAGCAGTTAGGGTGATATAAAAAAAAATGGTTAACTTTTTATTTAAAAAGTACAGAAGGGTGGGTTCATGAAGAAAAATGGAAAAAAATAGTTCAATCAATAATGAAATTCATGAAAGAAATGCAAGATGCAAGCAAAACCAGGGTAAGATCTTTGGGCTTTATCCTTATTATGACTAAAAGATTATAACTTCAATATATAATCATGTTTTAAATTTACAACATATTAAAATATTTTAATGTATTTTTCCTAAACTTTTGTGAGAAAATATTATTGATTTCACAAGTTTTCTCTAATTTGACATAGATTATATTATCAAGTCTGAATTTAATTTCAGATCAAATAGGTTTTTTCTGATATATCAGTGTTTGAAAAACAACCTTAAAATATAAATTTAAAATGCTTAATCAAATTTTAAACCTTAAACAATAAGAATATTAACAAAATTTAATAAAATATAAAATATTTAACAGAATAATTTTTTTTTTTTTTGACAGGCAGAGTGGACAGTGAGAGAGAGAGAGACAGAGAGAAAGGTCTTCCTTTGCCGCTGGTTCACCCTCCAATGGCTGCCGCGGCCGGCGCGCTGCGGCCGGCGCACCGCGCTGATCCGATGGCAGGAGCCAGGAGCCAGGTGCTTTTCCTGGTCTCCCATGGGGCGCAGGGCCCAAGCACCTGGGCCATCCTCCACTGCACTCCCTGGCCACAGCAGAGAGCTGGCCTGGAAGAGGGGCAACCGGGACAGAATCCGGCGCCCCAACTGGGACTAGGACCCGGTGTGCCGGCGCCGCTAGGCGGAGGATTAGCCTAGCGAGCCGCGGCGCCGGTCTAACAGAATAATTTCTAAAATAATTTAAGTGTAAGTCACCAAAAATTGTACACAAATCTGAATAGTTCTTCAACCATGAATGGATAGACAAACTGAAATATCCACAGAACAGAATGCTACTCATAAGTATAAAGGAGCAAACTATTAATTAATACAATGTGCATTTTTCCAGGTCAAAGAAGTCAGACACCATATTCACAGTAACATGTGGAAAGGACACAACTTTAATAATGGAAAATATATCAGTCACTGTTAGGAGCTTGAGACTAGACGTAGGTATTGACAAAAAAAAAAAAAAAGGAAGAATTCACGAGAGAAATTTGCAGATTTGATAGATCTTTTCTATTCAGAATTGTGGTGGCACATGCGATACTTCACACATTTGTCAAAATACTTGGAACTGTATACCTAATTTTTAAAATATTTTATTACAATTTTACTAAATGTAAACTTATAAAAATATCCAGAAAGTGGAACAAAATAGAGAATGCAAGTCATAAAGAATGAATCTTGTTGTTTTACAAACTAAGCTGAATGGAGTGAAAGAAAGGAGCTGATGTAAATAACTTTGGAATGCTGCACACTGTCCCATGAAAACAGAAGGAAATGTACACAAACACTGTATTCTAGTTGATAAAGTTCCTTTTCAAAAGAATATGAATTAGTAATTCTGAACATTTAACCTGGTACTGAGAGAAAAACATCAGTCACTTTATTTTCAGCACACATCCACAGGTAAATGCAATTTCATTCCTTATATCTCATCTGGAGTTTAAATTGACCCACCTTCCACTGGGGTCCAACTTTGATGTGAATGGTTGTCTTCCTATCCCAAAGAATAGTGATATCTTGGTCTGGAAAGTACACTACTGTGTAGTACCCAGCCTTCCAAAGCTGGTGTGTAGGTTTGCTTTCCAGAAGGAAACCTGATTGTTTCTTTAAAAAGGAAAAAGAAAAACACAATGAACATCATATTTTCTAACTGAGACATATAAAATTAAGTTAATATCTGCCAGTTACTGTCTATGTATTAGCAATTTTGTTTACCCATGTCTTCTCTAAATCCCTTTTGATGAAACAAATTAAGAAAAATGGGAAATACATAAAACTGATAGCAAGACATAAACTAGTAGATGTGCTCAACATGAATAAACGGTCAAAAGAGAAAAGTATTTCTGTCATGGGGACGAATATAAAGAAAGGAATGGACACAGAAGACATTAGAAGATGTCCTTGCAAATCAGAATTTCTGCATGAATGATGGAAAAATATGGCTGAAGACTAAAAATGTATGGCCTCGCCCCGCTCATGTTTCTGAGTGGGAAAATGATAGCATATGTATAGTCACTAACTTCATATAATACTCACTGAAAACCAGAATTCCTGAGTTTGATAGGAGACACTGCCTTCTCAACTCAGTAAAATTTCTAAAGTACAGCATTTGAGAACTGAAAAAAATTACGATACATGCACACACATGCACACATACATATAAAGATATGCACATATATTACACATAAATGTATTTTACAAGGTTAATGGAAAATGGAAGTAAAAGTTGTTCATTGCAATACCATTTTGAAATCCATGCATACTAGGGGTTTTCAACAATCATGTAAAAAATGTACATTATGAAAAAAGCATGCATCTCATATAGATATATGCATACATATGAGAGAAAGAGAGTGGGGAGAAGAATTATTATAAATTGGACTTAAGGAGGATTTTTGCAAGAATCGGGATGTGAACTGATCTGAAAGATGTCATACATAGAAAAGTAGAGGGCTGGGAATGAGAATGGAGAAGAAATAATTTCAAACAATTGAAGTGGCTTAAAGAAAGGTGTAGGGACAGGAACTGTGGGGAGCAAACCGGACTAGACTGAGTTACTGGAATTAAGACTTATTCTATGCATCTGCTCTCCCACAATATGGCGCTGAGAAGGGAGAAACAGCTTCTACACAGATGCCTCCAGTTCAACCAATAGACTGTGGGACCTGCTCCTGATTGGAGGAGAGCAGCGTATTCGGCGTGTGGGCAGCCGAGTTGGGATTGGCGGAGGAGGACTATAAAGGAGGAGAGAGACGGCATGCACCAGGAACATCTATGGGGAACATCTAAGGGAACCCGTGCAGCCCCCGAGAAAGCCGGCCGGCGGTGTGCCGCTCCCCTGCGGAAGTGGGGAATGCGGCCAGGGGGAACTGCCCTTCCACGGAGGTGGAAGGGATAGTAGCCAACCCGGGAAGAACCAGCAGCAAACCCGGGGAGGGCCGAGCAGACGAAAGAACAGCGCAGGGTCCTGTGTCGTTCCTCCACGAAGACGGGGAGCGACAGGAACATCCAAGATTTTCTCAGCCTTGCAAAGGGCTAGAAAATGTATCATATGACAAAGCCTGGTGAGGTCTTTTACAAACAAGTTTTTTGTACAGGGTAACTATTGCATGTACAAAATGCATTCAATAAAGTTTTGTGGAAATGATGACAGACCATGTCTGCATTTTTTAAAAAACTAAAGAACTAAATTAAGGAAAAATTAGAAATGAAATATTCTGGGAAATTTAAAAGCACTCATAACAGAAAGTGAGAATAGATAATATTCTGTATGAAAAAGGGTTATACCCTAAATATGGTTACACTGAATATGAGTTTGAAATTAACTCAAACAATAGTACTAAAAACACATGAGTATGGGGCCAGCGCTGTGGCATAGTGGGTTAAGCCTCTGCCTGTGGCGCCTGCATTCCGTATGTGTGCCTGTTCATGACCCAGCTGCCCTTCTTCTGATCCAGTTCTCTTCTATGGCCTGGGAAAGCAGTGGCTCAAGTGCTTGGGACCCTGCATCTATATGGGAGACCCAGAAGAAGCTGCCAGCTCCTGGCTTCAGATCGGTACATCCCTGGCCTTTGCAGCCATTTGAGGAGTGAACCAGCAGATGGAAGACCTTCCCTCTCTGTCTGTCTCTCCCTCTTTCTGTCTGTAACTCTACCTCTCAAATAAATAAATACATAAAATATTTTTAAAAAATCATGGTTATGTCAAAAAATTAAAATATTTAAAGAAGCAGAATAAAATTGGGAAGGATATATGAAATCCTTTGGTTAGTTTTCATTTCCTAGTAATAATAAAAGAGTATGGTTTGAAAATGCTGTAATACAGTGGTCTTTTTAATCAATATGCTTTTTTCAAAGGATAAATGAAGTACATCTAGTCATAAAGAGTTTTCAGTCTCTTAGATCATGGCTATATTTTTCACATGTGTGCAGTATATCATATGGAATAGAATATATTGTGTATAATCATATATGTTATTTACTAGTCCTACCAAACTTTGTATCCTCCTACCCTTCCATCCCCCACCTTCACTGACTAGGATCCAGCTACACTGGCCTTCTTTCTGCTTTTCAAATTTATACAAGCTTGAATTCATCTCAAGTTATATATACTTGATATTTCTCCTGCTAGGAACTCTTTTCTCCCAGATCTTGCATGACTGCCTCATGTCCATCAACTGTAACCTGTATCTTCCCTCCTCCACTAGACCTCCCCTGATTCCCTAACAGCACTCTCATTAACCAAAATAGGATGGGTTGGTGAGTAGCTGGAGTGAAATACAAAGCCCCAAGCTCAGACGGGAGCCCCGCATGTGTGATTTAATGTTCTGTAGTTGCCATCTTGAAATTTTTCTAAACATTTTACTTTTGAGTCTGTGCTTTCTAAGTGAAGTCCAATGGGGCAGTGAGCTTGTAGGTGAGTCCTGGAGCCTTGATACACAATCCTTTTTTCGCCTGCTGTCACTCCACACCAGCTCTCAGCTGCCTGGTCCCACTAACGGACTGCTACCAACTCCACCAACAGTGCAGAGATGGGAGTTAGAAGGGCAATACCCCGGACACTGTGAAGATCTGCACTCACCCTGGGAACACATCTGAGTAAGCATGACATTAAATAATTTTATGATAAATAAAGAACCTAAGACAGGTGAAATGAGATCATGAAACAAAGACAACACTTTTTTTTTCCAGTTTTGAATAAAGAGTCCCTAATTTTTGGCATCCTCTGGACTCTACAAATTGTGTCGCTCCTCTGCCCCCAAGTCACTCTCAGCCATAGAATCTATTTTTATTATATTCATTGCACTTTTCAGGGCCTTTCTATTATCTGCTGTGTCGTTGATGTTACTGTCTTCCGTCCACAGTGGTTTTTAATCCATTATTCTGATGCAAAGGCACATCTTTTCTACCTGCCTGGAGATAGAAATCTTTTATTTTCATTAAACAGGACACTTGGCTACAGAAACAATCCTCTTTGATCAAAAGGATTTTCCGTACTCCTTACTTTTCAGATTAGTAAGTAATGCTTCTCTTTAGAAAAGTGAGGTGCCACACATGTCCAAAATACAGACCTCTGCTTCAAATGAGGATTAAAGCACATCAAACTCCAGTGATGTCACAAAAGTAAGTTAGAAATGTGAAGAATTAAAACATTAAAAGTTCAACTCAAAGAAATTAATCCAATATAGTTTACATTGTTGGTAAAATCAGAAGTGTGCATTTATATATATATAAAGACAAAGGGTTTTTTCCTCTTTCCCTGGATGAACAGTCCATCTGCTGTAAAATAAACGGCAGTTATTTTCACTTTTGATGTTTGAGAAAAAAAAAAAAAAAAACAGCAGGGGATTTTGTAGGGCCAATCTGTTTATATGACTTCTCTTAATCTTACTTCTTACTTTATAATCTAAATAAAGGAGATTTATCAACACCTGCAAACAGGTGAAAATTGGAAGTAACATGTTACAGAGCTATAATTTACCACTTTAAAAAATGGGTCAGACAGGGGCCGTCGCCATGGCTCACTTGGTTAATCTTCCGCCTGCGGCACTGGCATCCGATATGGGCACCGGATTCTAGTCCCGGTTGCTCCTCTTCCAGTCCAGCTCTCTGCTGTGGCCCGGGAGTGCAGTGGAGGATGGCCCAAGTGCTTGGGCCCTGCACCCACATGGGAGACCAGGAGGAAGCACCTGGCTCCTGTAGCTCCGGCCGCAGTGGCCATTTGGGGGTTGAACCAGCAGAAGGAAGACCTTTCTCTTTGTCTCTCTAACTCTATCTGTCAAGTAAATAAATAAAAATTTTTTAAAAAATGGGTCACTCTCTTTACAAGAGCATTTTCTTATTTTTTCTTTTTTTAAAAAAAATCCCTGCTTTTAGAGAAAATCTTCACCTAAAAATGTACATCCAGCTGATGACATGGCCAAACTGCTGTAACTACTTCAAAAAAACACCATGAGTCTACGTGAGTGCGGAGACTGTTTTGCCTAAAATCTGATGGCTCCCTGATTGATCTTAGTGTTTTTGACTGAGACATAAACTATCTTCTAAGCAATGGTTCTCAAATTTCAGTGTGAACATTTTAAGGTACTATTAAAAGTATCAAATTCATTTTCAACTTTGGCCATTCCAATTACTGAGGGGAAGCCCAGAAACCAACACTTACAATAAATATCCAATATGATTTTAACAAAGGTTTGCAGTCCCAACTTAGAGAAACACTTAGATTTCAGAAAAGAGGTCACGTTGGAAAGCCCACTCGTCAGATCACGCACTTCCCAACTCCAAAACTTCCTGTCTACATAATGAAGCTCAAATGTGCTGAGCCACTCAAGAGCTTCAGAGTCTAAATCCAATCCCCTTGTCTATTGCTGTTGTGCTGTAGCCCTGTATTACAGTTGATAGGGAAACTATTCCTTAACTCTCCCTGCCACATCCTCCATGCACAAACCTATGTGCTGCGCTTCAACCAAACTAAACTACCTGCAGATAGTCTTCCAAACATGCCATCTTGTCTTTCAAAACTGCTCCCTTGATATAATTATTCCTCTCCCTACCTTCATCTAGTTAACACCTACTCATCCTTTATGATTTTGTGCAAATCATTTCTACCAGAGCACACTTTTCGAACCTTCAAAGATAAGGATGATAGAAAGGAGAAGGATCATTTCTTGAAATTCATTATTTTATATTTTCATTTCAAATCGCATAGGAACTTAAGAAGTAGACTCCATAACAATCCCAAATGTATAGCTGAGAAAGCTGCAACTTGGAGAGATTAGCCAAACTCATCAAAGATGTCACTGCTAGCAGTTGCAGAGTTAGTATTGACTGACCCCAAAGTCTATGTCTGTAACCTAAACATCCAAGGTTGCTTAGATGTTGTTCCTAGCAGTTCCCATATTATCCTAGCTAAACTCCTGCCGTGGCATATCACACTTGCACACCTCACCAAGTCTGTGTTTTCAATGCTGTAGTCCCAATACTTAGCACAAATATTGATACAGAATAGGCATATAATGAATGGGTGAAATTTTTCATTGTTTTTAAATTAGATGGACTCCAAGGACAGGAGAAAAAACAACGGAGACAGTGGGCCCAATTTTCACGGAATTTAGAGAGAATGGACAAGACAGACAACTGCACAGGTAATTTCTCTGACATATCGTGCATGTTCCAACAGGGTAGTTGACGGCCTACAGAGGAGCTCACAGGAGGAGCTAAGAAAAACTGCACAGGAACAAGTTTAATGGAAACATGGATCCAGGCAGGAGCAACGACGTTCATGAAGAACTAAAAATGAGAGACAGAATAGAGAGGCCATGAAGAACTAAATAGAGCTTCAACTTCTAAAATGTGGGCTTGAAGCAGAAAGACATGAAGTGAGGCAGAAAACACGCACAACAGCCAGACTGGCAAAGCCTTGTAAGGTAACAGGAAGTCATCTGAGAATTCTGAAAAGCGGAGGGACAGGAAACTGGATTTCCAGTTTAGAAACACCACTCTGACTGTCCTGTATGAAGGTGGATTAGAAAGGGGGAGGCACAGTATTGAAGGTCAGGAGTCTGCTTAGGAGGCTAACAAGGTAACACAGTTTCTAGGATTAGAATTGTGACTATGGGGATTTAAAAAAAAGAGAGAGAGAAAATAATTGGAATATGGAGAAGTGAAGTACAAACAGAAGAGACAAGTCTAGTACAGTTAACTCAATCCATACCAAGTTACCAAGAAAAAAAATTTAATCTTATAACCACTTAAAGTGAGAAGTACTCTAAACCATTTCCATTCTATTTTCAATATCCTCAGGATAAGTTTAAATGATCCTAGAAGAAATAATTCACTAACCTGTTTGTAAGGCGCATCATTCAAGTAAATTTCAGTATTCCCAACTGAAATCAAAACACTTTTGGAACAAACAATATCATTGTCAAAACATTTCTTATTCTGGGAAATGACAGATATATCTGCATCATCTGTACTCTGAAATGTCAAAAATATTGCATTAATACAAATGCATACAAATACATATGTACACTTTAGTTAGTTTAATTACCAAAAGGAAGACCAAGATTTACAATGGCTTGCATTCGAATTAAATGAAAATAACCTCTAAAATAAAAATAAAATTTTGTGTTTACTAATGTGAAAAATTTTATAGAATGTAGCAAGGTAGATAATTCTTTGAAGACTTTTATTATCTGTAAAAATTTTGTTATAGCAAAACTTTATTTCCATTATTGCTATGGCTCAAATTTATCAACCATTATTACTGCTTTACAAATAGATAACCAACAAGACATCACTTAGGGGAATCTCAAAATAAATATTTTTATTTTGGACAACATATCTTTTATATTAAGGAATTTCTGACTGTGTAATTATTTTGTCTACATATTAGAATTCAAGTTGATACAAAGCTTCGGTAGGTGTTCGCAAATGAAATAATGCATACTATTTCAAGGCTTGTTTTGAGTTTTACATGTGGTATCTAATACAAGTGTTAGTATAACTTTTTGAATTCAATATTATCTCCATTTTACAGATCAAGAAACTAAAGTTAAAAGGGATTCATTGATTGGCCAAGGCCACTGAACTAAATAAAATTGAGACAGAGTTCAGAACCCCAGTGTTTTGTCTTGTTTTGTTTTTATATCACTTGTAAAGAAATTGGAAAGCGTCTAGCAACAGTTGATGAACAAATTCTACTTTAGGTGACTGAGAATTGTTGGCTTCAAAGAACTTCAGTTGGTCTCACATACCCTAAATCGAAATTCTATTTAGATGTCTTTCCTTTAACTACTCCCTACTCCATCCATCAAGAATACCCTCTCTAGAATCAGGGTTTCTAAGATGGTATCCGGTTTCATGGACAGGCTTCTTGTTTCTGCAGTCCCCAGGAATTCATTATAAAATGTTACTTGTGAGGCCAAGCATTGTGGTATAGCAGACAAAGCTGCCACTTGGAACATCTGTATCCTATATAGGTGCTCCACTTCAAGTACCACCTCCTCCACTTCCCATCCAGGTCCCTGCTGATACACCTGGGAAGGCAGCAGAAGAGAGCTGAAATACTTGTGCCTCTTCCACCGATGTGGGAAATTCAGATAGTTCCTGGTCCTGGCTTCAGCCTAGCCCTGCCTCAGGTATTATGTGCATTAGGAGCGTGAACATGGAAGAGCCCTGTCTCTGTCCCTCTGTCATTTTACATTTCAAATAAGTAAATAAACAATTTTATGTTGTTTATGAGTATCTGTATTTTCAAAATTATAATTGCATATACTTATAGGATACAACGTGATGACATATGTATATAATGTGTAAAGATCAATCAAGCTAATTAACATATCATCTACTTCATAAACATATTTTTTCTAGAAATAAGGCCCATAGTTTTCATCAAATTTTCACAGTCCTTACCCATCCCAAATTGAACAGCTACTGCTTTAAGGGTCTTTCTGTGTGAGAATATCACCCAAAGAAAAGGAAACAAATGTGACATTTCTCTTTGGACGAAAAGTCCAGTGCTCAAAGGCCACACATGTTTCCTGAATCTTTTTCAATTTTTAGACTTAGAATGATTATTTAATTTTAACAGTCAAAGAAAGTCATGAATTATTTGAAAGTCATATGGCTCTTCATGTGAATTGCCCACACTTAGTTTTTCATAACAATATGCAACATGAACACTAGATAAATACATATCATTGGCCAAATTATTCCTGTCTTATTGGTACTTGGTACAGCAAGAATGCCTAGAGGATAGGTTTTTTTAAAATTAATGGCATTGATGTATTAATTAATGTCTCTCTCTGTAACCAATTTTGCTTTGATAGGTCCTAAGAGATTTTCTGCTTCTCCTTAAACAATCCTTTTGCAAAGCATTGCCTACATTTTGAAAAGGAGAATAATAAGGGTCATTAAGATTATTGTGGCATTGTATTACCCAAAAAAAAATAATGATACAGTTTTATACTTTTATGAGTGATTTTCAAAGAAGAAATATACATATATATAATTCAGGGTTTTGTTTTGCTCTTCCTTTTGCAAAGAGTTATTTAGATTAAGGGAGGTGAAAAGCTGGCTTTTTATTGCTATTACATTTCTATTACTATTAATTAAAGTTCCTCACTGTTAACCTTATTCTTTATTTTATATCAGAAATGTCAAAAAATACACTATATTATATGGTCTGTTTTATAATATCATGTTATGCTGACAGTAATTTGAAACAATAGTGATGTCTAAGAGCAAAGTTCCTACAATTTTCATTTCTAATGTATTTGAAGTTAATAATGGGTTTCAAAATAATGCTACAGAGTTGCTAAGCAACATAGTAATGATTACAAAGCTAAAGAAAAAAGGTCAACATCAATGTGCTACATGCGTTCTTCAAAACTTTATTTCTTGTATTCAGAAAGCTTCCAATGCTTCTGAAACATAAACTGTTGGTACTCTCAAAGCAGTATATTATTGTACTTGGCATGTCAGTCTTGGCACCCAACGTAGCCCCACCCTCTTTAAGGGTAACTGTACCACAGAAATCCCTACTGATACAGTAGCTTCAGGCAGCTGTGTTTTATGTCCCACAGATGATGGGACCCAAATATATTCACAGATGGACAAAGGGACTTTAATGCTGGCAGAAAAAAAAAGATAACTCCAGCCAATTGCATTCTTCTCAAATCAAACCAAAAAATGCTGTTTAAAAAGAAAATGTTAGACCGGTGCCGTGGCTCACTAGGGTAATCCTCCGCCTGCGGCACCGGCACCCCTGCTTCTAGTCCCAGTTGGGGCGCCAGATCCTGTCCCAGTTGCTCCTCTTCCAGTCCAGCTCTCTGTTATGGCCCAGGAAGCAGTAGAGGATGGCCCAGGTTCTTGGGCCCTGCACCAGCATGGGAGACCAGGAGGAAGCACCTGGCTCCTGGCTTCAGATCGGCACAGCACACTGGCCATAGCGGCCATTTTGGGGGTGAACCAACGGAAAAGAAAGACCTTTCTCTCTGTCTCTCTCTCACTGTCTAACTCTGCCTGTCAAGAAAAGAAAATGTTTTGTAGTAAGATCTGAGGGTGAAGAGTCATAGAAAGGAGATAATATAGATAGAGACTAAAAGGCAAGCACAAGTTGAACTTAATAGGAAATAGAAATAATGACTGAACTGAAGTAAAGAGTAGACAAGCCCAAGTAAGCAGAGACCACTGCAGCCACAGAGAGATTGTACTAGCTGCACAAACAACATCAAGGCATCCATGAATCTCTGACACATCTTTAAGGCTTTTGTTCCAAAGATTCCTTGAGATATATTTTTCCTGTTACGACTTCACAGACAAATTTTCACAGTACCCAGCACTGTCCTTACTGTTTGTTTCTTAAAATAGGATGTCATGGAGAACAGAGAGTGCCCTGAACTCTTTCATCACCTAGGAAGGTAACTTGAAGATACACTGATAATAAAGGACAGGGGAATTATAAAAGACCAGGTCAAACACTCACTCCTTAGGGATCCAGCAACAATGCCATCCCTTCCATGAATCTTTCCTGTTCCTTCAGTTAAAATCAGTAAAAAGTGAAACGATGGAAAAAGATACCAATGCTAGCAGAAATTTAAAAAATAAGCCATAGTAGCCATCCTAACATCAGATAAAATAGACTTCAAGAAAAAAAACTGTTAAAAGACCAAAGAAGGGCATTATGTGATGATTAAGGGAGCAATTTACCAGAAAGATGTGATGATAGTAAATGTATATGTACCCAATGCCAGGAAAACTGGTTATTTAAAACAAATGTTAATGGGTCTAAAGGGAGACATAGGCTCCAATACAAAAACAATGATGAACTCCAAAACTCTAATTTAATCAATGGACAGATCGACTAGACAAAAAAATCAACACAGAAACTATAGAGCTAATCTATACTATTGACCAAATGGACCTAACTGATATCTACAGAATGTTTCATCCCACAGCTGCAGAATGTACATTCTTTTATCAATGCGTGGAACTTTCTTTAGGATACATGATATACTATGTGAATTCAAAAAATTGAAATCATACCATGTATTTTTTATGACCATGATAGAATGTAACTGGAAATTAGCAACTTAAGAAACTCTATAAAATACGCAAACACATGGAAACTGACCAATATGCTCCTAAATGAACAGTGGGTTGCAAAATAAATCAGAAATGAAATTAAAAAATCCCTAAAAATAAATGAAGATGACAAAACAACATATCAAAATTTATGGGATACTGCAAAGCAATGTTAAGAGGAAGTTTTATAGCAATTAGTGCCTAGATCAAGAAATTGGCACCAGAAATACATGATATAACAATGGATCTCAAGGACCTAAAAAAAGAAGAACAAACCAAACCCAAAATTAATAGGAAGAAAGAAAAAATAAAAATAAAAATTGGAAAAGAAAAAAATTGAAAAAAATGATACAAAGATCAATGAAATGAAGAGCTGGTCTTTTGAAAAAATAAACAAAATTGAGACACCTCTGGTCCAAATAGAGAAAATAAAAACAAAAAAGGAAGGGGAGACCCAAATTAATGAAATAAGAGATGAAAAAGATGTTAGAACAAAAAATACACAGAAACAAAAAGAATCATTAGGAATTACTACAAACAACTATATGCTGACAAATTGGAAAATCTAGAAGAAAGGGATGGATTACTGGACACATACAATTTACCAAAATTAAGTCATGAAGACCTAGAAAACCTAAATAGAACAATGATCAATATGGAGATTAAATCAGTATTAAAGACCCTTCTAGGCCAGTGCTTTGTTGTAGTAGTTTATTTTTTTTAATTTTATTTCAGATTACAATTTTCATCTATTCAGATTTATTTTTTTCTTTTTTTAACTTTTATTTAGTAAATATAAATTTCCAAAGTACAGTTTATGGATTACAATGGCTTCCCCCCCATAATTTCCCTCTCACTCGCATCCCTCCCATCTTCTGCTCCTTCTCCCA